GCATTTCCAGGAAGAAAGCACCTGGGGGAGGGGAGGGAAAGGCTGCATGCAGGTGGACCCATAAACCAGCATGTTCACTCCTGTATAAGAAGCCCCTGCTCACAGTGTCAAGGGTTGTGGCCAGGGAGCTGTCAAACCTGCCAGGGTACCCCTATGTGGACACCACCATCCAGAGTGCCTGGGGTCTGCCCCTAGCCAGCCCCCAAAAGCCAGTCCATGCTTTTACACGCAGGACACCCTCACCCACAGTGGGGCTCTATGCCCAGCCCGCCCCAGAAGCCCAGCTGAGCATCCTTGTGTGGGATGCCTCCAGCAGCCCACAGCACCTTGGTTCATGCCTAACCAGGCCCAAAGGCCCAGACATGCACCCACTGTACAGGGCCATCAGACAGTGCTGGACCCAAAAGCCTACCCATACCTCTCCAGAAGACACCCACAGCACAGCATATACAAAACCAGGAAACCACAGCCCATTACCACTGAACCTAACACCTAATCTTAAACTCTACAAACCCTGAAACCAGATGCATAAATCACAGCCAAAGATCACAAATTTCATGAACAATCAAGACAACGTGCCACTCTCAAAAGCAGCAACTCAGAGGTGGACTCTAATTGAAGAGCAAAGAGGAAGGTGGGGTGGGGGGGGACACAAAAGAATCATTAGAGCAATGATGGGAACTGCCCACCAAATTAAAAAGGCAGATCTACAAACAGAAGACTACAGTGAGGAAAGGATGAAGAAAATGCAGGAGATCCAAGATGACAGCAACAAGAACACAGAACCTTTACAAAACCTCAATGAAGGAAATAAATGATAATTAACAAGGAGATAGACACCATGAGGACTGACATCAACAAAGAGCTAGGAAACATGAAAGGCTCTGACTTCCTATTGCAAAGCACAGTTGAAAGCATAGGCAATAGAATAGTGAAGTAGGAAACAAGGTATCCGGAGTTGGGGGTAAAACTGAGGAATCAGAACAAAAAATCAAAGCATGGAAAAAAAGCCACTCAGAACATCCAAAGGAATGTTCAAAATCTGGCAGATTGGACCAAAAGATCAAACTTACCCATAATTGGGATAGATGAGGGAGGAGAATTCAAAACTAAAGACATTGAAAACAGATTTAACAAAATAACAGAAAAATTCTCTATCCTCAACAGAGAGTTGGAGAAACCCACCTGACAAAGACATATAGAACTCTAAATAGAATCCAAGAAGATATACTTCTAGACACATTGTAGTGAAAACTTTGGACTTAAAAAACAAGGAATCGATTTAAATGCAGCAAAATAAAAAAGGGAACTTTATTACAATAGAAAGGAGATTAGAATTGCTGCAGATTTCTTCACACAAACTCTGAAACTCTGAATGCAAGGAGAACTCCAAGTGATATAATTCGAACTCTGAATGACAACTGCCAACCCAAACTGGTGTATCCAGTGAAGATAATACTCACAATTGACAGGGAAACTAAAATCTTTCATGACAAACAAAAAAAATTAAAGAAATTCATGAACACTAAACCAGCACTACAAAAGATATTAAAAGAGAAAGCATACACTCTGAAGAAAACAAAGTCAAGGAAACACAATATTAAACAAAAATCACTAGACTAGTTTAGTAAACACAAAAAGAGGAAAGCAGGATACAGGAAAACAACAAAATGGCAGGAAACATGACATATTTCTCCACTGAAATGTTAAATGTCAATGGGCTCAATTCCCCAACCAAAAAACATAGAGCAGCACACTGGATGAAAAAAAAAAAAGACCCAGCCACCTGTTGTCTCCAAGAAACACCTCTCACAATGAAAGATAAACACAACTTCTGGATGAAGGGACAGAAAAAGATCTTTCATGCAAATGCATTTTATAAGAAGGCAGGAGTAGCCAAACTGTTATCTGATAAAAACAGACTTTTTGTTAAAATCAGAAGAGACAAAGAAAGTTTACATATTAATAAGGGGGATGATCCATGAAGAGGAAATTACAGGGTTAATATTTATGCACCAAACTATGGGACACCTAAGTACATTAAATAGACCCTTTCAGAGTTACAGAACATGATAGATCCCAACACAATAATAGTGGGAGACTTTAGCACTCGACACTCAAAGACTAGGAGATCTTTACCAGCACTACATGAGACAATGGCCTAATTTGCAAAATATACAAGGAACTCAAGAAAGTAAACCCACTCCAAACCAATCACTGAATGGACAAAGGAGCTAAGAGATTTCTCAGAAGAAGAGGTAAGAATGGCAAAGAAGCCTATAAGGAAATGTTCAACATCCCTGGTCATAAAGGAAACGCAAATCAAAACAACTCTGAGATTCCATCACACTTCAGTTAGGCTGGCCAACATTGTGAATTCAGACAACAAATTCTGGCAGGGATGTGGGGAAAAAGGAAATTTAGTGCACTGTTTGTAGGAATGTCAACTAGCACAACCACTCTGGACAGCAGTCTGGAGGTTCCTCAAAAAACTTAACATAGACCTTCCCTATGACCCAGCCATACCACCAATGGACATCTACCCTGAACATCACAAGCCATTTGCACATCCATGTTCATTGCTGCACTGTTCACAACAGCCAAGTTATGGAAACAGCCCAGATGCCCTACAATAGATGAGTAAATCAAAAAATTGTGGTACTTAAACACAATAGAATTTTACACAGCCATTAGAAAGAACATTATTATGTCATTTGCAGGGGAATGGATGGACCTAGAACAAATCATGTTAAGTGAGGCAAGCCAAGCACAGCGAGACCAGTGGGGCTTATTTTCTCTCTTATGTGTAAGTTAGATCTATAATACCCTGGGACATGATAAATTATACAGGACTGTAGGCAACTCAAACACAGTAAGACCAAAGGATACTCTTCCTGAGGAACACAAAAGCTCTATGCCTCTCCTCTGGTCGTATAAAATATTATTTCTCAAAATGAATCCTAGAGGATGGAAACAAAGGGGTTGTTTTGCTTGTTTTCCTTTGGGGGCACATGGGGTGGCACAGGAATTTAGGGACAAAGGGTCTACAAATATAGCAGTAGTGCTCAGTGGATACTATGTTGGAAATAAACTATACAACTTGTGGGTGGGTGTGAGAGGAAAAAACTTGGAGAAGGTGAAGAAAGGGGTGATACTGTCCAAAGAGAAATGTACTCATTACTTATGAAATGGTAACCCTCATGAAATGGTGTAGAATACCTTTATAATAATATTTTTTAAAAGGAAACATTATGTTAGTCTCAAGGTTCCTCTTGGTGAGAAAATGGTCTCCTGGTTGCAGAGAGGAGGGTAGAATGGTAACGATGGAAGTGTGTGTAATCTAGAGGCAGGGAGCAGAGGGGCCTAGAAGTGGCCTGGCCCACAGGATTTGTACCTGAGGGCATTGAGCGTCCCCGGCCTCTAGTGAGACCAGCAGAAGGGACTTAACCTTCCTACGGGTTATTTGGGTAGAGGTTAGCCACTGCTGGAACAAGTTCACTGAAAAATAGTTAGCTGTGCATTAAATCTTTGTTGTAAGCCCCTCTCGATGGACCTCCTTTGAAGAGGTGGAGGCGCCGCCTGCGGCTCTCCAGCTCCTGGACTGAGAGCGTCATTCATTTCCCGCGTCCGGCTACCCTGGACCCTTTTCCTGGGAGCAACACCGAGCAACTGCGCTAAGATGGGCAGAGATGGTCCAGCGCTGCTTTCCCGAGGCTCCTGGCGCTGTCTTCAGGACGGCTGCGGCTGTGTACATCTTCCCAGCGGGGCGGGGCGGCTGACCCAGTCACCAACCCCAGAGGAGACTCCATGACAGGTGCAGGCAGGCCGGGCTGCGGCGGGGCCTCCAGCTCAGACCGCAGACGGCGGGGCCTCCAGCACAGACCGCAGACGGCGGGGCCTCCAGCTCAGACCGCAGACGGCGGGGCCCGGCCTCCAGCACAGACCGCAGACGGCGGGGCCCGGCCTCCAGCACAGACCGCAGACGGCGGGGCCTCCAGCTCAGACCGCAGACGGCGGGGCCCGGCCTCCAGCTCAGACCGCAGACGGCGGGGCCTCCAGCTCAGACCGCAGACGGCGGGGCCTCCAGCACAGACCGCAGACGGCGGGGCCTCCAGCTCAGACCGCAGACGGCGGGGCCTCCAGCACAGACCGCAGACGGCGGGGCCTCCAGCACAGACCGCAGACGGCGGGGCCCGGCCTCCAGCTCAGACCGCAGACGGCGGGGCCCGGCCTCCAGCACAGACCGCAGACGGCGGGGCCTCCAGCTCAGACCGCAGACGGCGGGGCCTCCAGCTCAGACCGCAGACGGCGGGGCCTCCAGCTCAGACCGCAGACGGCGGGGCCCGGCCTCCAGCACAGACCGCAGACGGCCGCCGCGAGCGCTCCGGGTCCGCCGAGGTGTCTGCCCAGCGGAGGCGCCGGCAGGGCCTAGATGGCCAACGACGACCCCGCCAGGCGCCCCAGGGCCGTCACCGGGCGCGGGGCCCCGCACTTGGTCCCCGTGCCTGGTCCATCCGGCCGAGAGGCGGGGCTGGCCGCCCCGTGCGACGGCCCAAGCCCCGCGGCCACGCGGAGGGGCGGACGGCAGGCCCCGCCCACCGCGCCCACCGGAGCCGTCCCGTGGCCCGGAGGCACCGAGGAGGTCTGTCCGTCCGTCCAGTCCTCCCGGCTTGTCGCCCGCGCCGCCGAGGCCCAGGCTCGGGCCGGAGTAGCGCGTGCCAATGCGGGCGCCGGAGCTCCACCGGACCGGAGGAACCGCGTCTGTGGGACACGGGGCGGCGAGCGGACCTCGGGCCGGCGTCCACAGCCGCCGCGCGGTTGCTGTGGCAACGGGCCGTGAGCCTGCGCAGTGCACACCTCGCCGTCTGCTCGGGCGTCTCCGCGCCGGCGCCTGCGCACAGCGCTTCTCGCCGCCGGCGGCTCGCGCCGGTCCCGGCCCGGCTTCGCAGGCCCCGCCCCGCGGGCCCGCCAGCGGAAGCGTCTCCAGTGGGGCGGAAGTGAATGCGTGGGTCGAGGCTGAGGGCGGGGTGAGCCCGGTCCTCTGCGGCCGGAGGGACCCTGGGCCCGCAGTCGGTCGGGGACCCGGCCTGGGCCCGCGCGGCCTCCCGCTTCCACGTCCGCCGCGCTCCGCGGAGACCCGGCCCGGCCCGGCCCTTCCCGGCGCTCCCCTGAGGTGAGCCGGCTGGGCGCTCCCTCCCCCCTGCCCCCTGCCCGACCCCCTGCCCCCTGCCCCCTCCCCGACCCCCTCCCCCCTCCCCCTGTCCCCTGCCCGCCTCCCTGCCCCCCTCCCCCCTCCCCCTTTGCCTCCCTGCCCCCCTCCCCCCTGCCCCCCTCCCCCCTGCCCGCCTCCCCTGCCCCCCTCCCCCCTGCCCCCCTCCCCCCTGCCCGCCTCCCCTGCCCCCCTCCCCCCTGCCCGCCTCCCCTGCCCCCCTCCCCCCTCGCTCTTTGCCCCCCTGCCCGCCTCCCCTCCCTCCCTCCCCCTTTGCCCCCATCCCACCTGCCCCCCTCCCCCCCTCCCCCCTGCCCCCCCTCCCCTGCCTCCCCTCCCGCCCCCCCTCCCCGCCTCCCCTCCCCCTCCTCTCCCCTTCCCCTCTCCTCTCCCCCTTCCCCCCTCCTCTCCCCCTTCCCCCCTCCTCTCCCCCTTCCTCCTTCCTCTCCCCCTCCTCTCTCCCCTTCTCTCCCCCATCCTCCTCCCTCCCTCTTCTCCCTCCCTTTCCTCCTTCTTCTTCCTCCTCTCTCTCCCCTCCTTCCTCCTCCTTTCCTTCCTCCTTTCCTGCCCGCTTTCCGTCTTCCTCTGTCTCTTCCTGTCACTCACCACCAGGTTCTTCCAGGCTCACCAAGTGTTCAGCCTTTGCGGGGGCCTCTGCCCTCCTGGCGGGGTCAGGGCCGCCCCCCACGCAGTGCCCCTGAGGTTCCTCCGCCCTCCTGGCGGGGTCTGGGGGTGGCCCTGCGGTCCCCCCTCCGATGCAGTGCCCCCGAGGTTCCTCCGCCCTCCTGGCGGGGTCTGGGGGTGGCCCTGCGGTCCCCCTTCCGATGCAGTGCCCCCGAGGTTCCTCCGCCCTCCTGGCGGGGTCTGGGGGTGGCCCTGCGGTCCCCCTTCCGATGCAGTGCCCCTGAGGTTCCTCCGCCCTCCTGGCGGGGTCCCCCCCTCCGCGTGCCCCGGAGCGCTCTGGGCGCTGTGGGGCTGTGACGCCCTGTTTGGCCCCTGGACTGGAATCTGGCACTCCCTGTGCGGTGTTTTTCTGCACTCAGGTCCATCACTGGCTTGGGCTCCTCCCCAGGCACCTGGTACTCGATGATCTCTTCCTTTTTAAAAAGAAAGATCCCCAGTGAGTGAAGATGTTCCCTCCTAACCTTCTCCTCCCCACTTCCTACTCCTACTGAATTGTATTTTACAATTTTTTTGGGAGGGGGGTCGGTTATGGGGCTTGAACTCTGGGCCTGGGCACTGTCCCCGAGATCTTCAGCTCTACTTGGAGATAAAAGTCTCATGGATTTTGCTGCCCCGGCTGGGGGGCCACGATCCTCAGATCTCAGCCTTCTGAGCAGTTAGGATTGCAGGCGTGAGCCACCGGTGCCTGGCATAAAGCACTTTCTTAGTAGCAGTTTGAAGTCCACCCAGTTTGAAAGATAAGTTATTTTTACAAATACATCTGTGATGTCCAGATATTAAATGAACTATCTTCACATAGTAAATCAGTGCTCCAAAGACCAATACCAGAGCATCATATTCCTTATGAACAAATACAACTCATTGAGAAGAATCGTTTTCTTTTTTGGATGTGGTGTTGGAGAGTGAACCTGGGACTTCTAGCACTTGAGTATGCCCCCAACCCTCTGTTTTTTGCTTTTGTTTTTGCTTTTGAAACAGACTTGCTCCTACTTTTGCCTGAGCTGGCCTCTACTTCCTGAGTAGCTGTGATCATAGATATGTGCCTGGCTAAGTCAGCTCTATTATTACTATATTTCAACATAAAATGAACAAAAATTATACCTTTATTTGCACATATTCATTGTATGCTAAGTTCTAGAAAAGTGGGCAGTATTAATGTTGTGTTAGAATATTAGCTAAAAAAATCCAGTATAGATTCATGTAAATTATTAGTCATTTATAAGACCATGAACCAACTAGGACAAGAGGTAAGCATCTTTCTGACTAGTTTTTGAGATTTGCTTTTTTCCCATTAGCATTAAGATACTCTGCTTATGGTTAGATATTTTCTAAATATATTACTTCTTTGTGTTCTTAAGTTGAATGTACTGAATGTCATATAAACATTCCTCCATAATCCCCCGTGGACATTTCAAACCTAGTTATGTTGAGATATGAACAGTAATGTTCTTATTGATGTGTGTGTAGCTGGTTCCCCTATTATTCCTTTGGACTCTAAGGTCTTTCTGATTTTACTGTAGCCTTTTGTTTCTCTGTGCCAACTGTCATACCTGCTTGAAGTTGCCTTTCCATATACTCTTCTCTGCTCTAGACTCAGGAACTAATTCGATAGGACTTTGTTAAAAAAAAAAATAGTCCATAGATAGTTTTAAGACTTGAAGGAGTTTCTTGTGAATTGGTGGCTTTAATTTGTGGACCTTTTGATTTATACTCTGAATTTCAGATAAGTGAGGCATTATAAGTACACACATCTTTCTCTTTTGTGTGTTCAATGACTTCTCCACACCGAAGTCTCTAGGAGACATTGTAGTTCACAGTGAGGCTGGGAGCGGCCAAAAGCAGAGTTCTAGGTTACAGGTCTCTTCAAGTTCTGATCATCTAGCTAGGCTCCCTGTGAGTAGAAATAACCTGTAGGGAGGAAGAGTAGCACCACTAGTTAGCACCCTGAAGTACTGCAAGATCAAGTGAATGGTAAGGCCTACTGAAAGAAAGCTGTACTTCTGATACTTTAGAGGGTGACACTACCTTGCATACCTGTTGGTTGTTTCCAGAACATGTTTGCCTGCCTTCTTTGCTGTGAAGTGCTTTTGACAGAAGAGACTGAATACCACTGACAGTATTTCTAATTTGGGCCAGTAGTATGAGAGGGAATATCTACCATGGGTCTTATTTTTAGTAAATTACATATAAAGTATCTGGCTGGTTATGTTTTGATATGCATATATATGTATGTGTGTGTATACATATATGTGTGTATATATATATATATATGTATATATTCATTTCTCCAGGCTTTCTTCTTCCTTAAAGGATGTTGAGGCCTTGACATCTTTCAGGATTCATCATCTAGTCAGGGATCTCATCTTGTTTGTTGTTGTATCTGTGGTCCTAACAGGGAGCTTGAACATGGGAAATTCTCTGTGACCCTGTGAGCATTTACCAAGTGAATGTTAGGAATTTGGTTGGGCTTGTGGGGTGCTGCTGTCCTAATTCAGAAGCCATGCTTATGTTGTCCTAGTTCATCATCTCTGGGTCCAGAGCAAGCTTTGACACTAGTTGGTATCAATAATAGGATTTGAAGTGTGCCGCTCTGCTAGTTTCTACCAGTGTATGTCAGTTGAAAGGTGAAATGAGCTGCTGGATTTCTCTGTTTCCCATGCCTCCATTCTCGGGTAACCCTGTAATTGGGACTGGTCTGTCAGGAGAGTGGAACCACACCCAAGACAGTAGATTCTTCTGTGCCACCTGAGTGCCTTCTGTTCCCTGCAGTTCCTTCTGAAGGGTTCTGCATTGGTGTGTGTTTCCTAAGGCCTGCGGTAAGATGCTGGAGTGATTCTATTTTTTACTGTCTTTAGCCACAGATGGATTCTTTAAACTGCAGATCCCTGTTTTTTTTCAATGTATACCTTTCATTGGGTTCATTCTTTTTTTTGGGGGGGGGGTTCAGTCGTGGGGCCTGAACTCTGGGCCTGGGCGCTGTCCCTCAGCTCTTCAGCTCAAGGCTAGCACTCTACCACTTGAGCCACAGCGCCACTTCCGGCTTTTTTTCCTTTTTGCTAATGTGGTGCTGAGGAATCGAACGCAGGGCCTCATGCATGCAAGGCAAGCGCTCTACCACTGAGCCACCTTCCCAGCCCCTTATTAATTCTTTCAAATACCCTTTGGGCCCCTCATGTGCAAGATACTGTCTAGAGGCCCACTTTACTGATAGTGATTCCCAGAGCACCTCAGGTTCTATTTTAGCTATATGACTTCTGCCTATTAAGCATAACTTCTGTATTCTTTCTAAATAAGTTATCTAGATATTGTTATATACATTTTTTTTGTATGTGGGCTAGTTCTGGGTCTTGAACTTGGTCTAATCAATGTCCTTAAGCTATTATGCTCAAGGTTAGTACTCTACCACTTCAGACACAGCTCCACTTCTGGCTTTTTTTTTTTTAAGTAGTTGATCAGAGATAAAGAGTCCCATAGACGGGCTGGGAAGGTGGCTCAGTGGTAGAGCGCTTGCCTTGCATGCCTGAGGCCCTGAGTTCGATTCCTCAGCACCACATAAGCAAAAAGAAAAAGAAAAAAGCCGGAAGTGGCAGTGTGGCTCAAGTGGTAGAGCGCTAGCCTTGAGCTGAAGAGCTGAGGGACAGCACCCAGGCCCAGAGTTCAGGCCCCACGACCAGACCCAAAAAAAAAAAAATAATAATAATTGCAATTTTGGGGGGGGAGGGGGGAGGCTGGGAAGGGAGGTGAAGGGTAAACAAAGGAGGAGGCTGCAATGCTTGGTAAGAAATGTATGCATTATCCTGCCCATGTAATTGTAACCCCTCTGTACAGTATGTTCTCAAATAAAATTAAATTAAATTAAAAAAAAAAAAAAGAGTCCCACAGACTTTCTTGCCTGGGCTAGCTTCAAACTGTGATCCTCAGATCTCAGCCTCCTGAGTATCTTGGATTATAGGTGTAAGCCACCAGTGCCTGGCTGTTTTCTAGCCGTCATATAATAACTACCTTTAGAGAGTGAAAAGCCTCTATACATGCTATACATCTAATGTTCACAGCTTTCTGTCTTTTTGGCATTTTTCCTATACTGACTTTCAGGCACTGAGTAGATATTGTAAACATTCAACATCTGAATACCCTAAGCACTAGAACTTACCCTCCAGTGTTACAGTTTCCCAAGTCCTTTCCTACCCAAGTTCTTATAAATGCCAGAGAAAAGTACATTGTCAGACCTTGCTTGTTTAGTTCGAAATGTGTGTTATTGACAGTGCTGAAGACTGCAAAAAGCTTGTGCTTACTCTATTAAAATAGTAGGATTTTCAGGGTAGGGTGAGAAGCAGAAACATAGGAATAAAATCAGAGCAGAGATCTGAGACTGACCTCCTGCAAAGTACAGAGACTATCTTGAGGAATTCATTGTTATTTTCAGTTTTTGTAGAAAATGATTTGAACCAAAACACATTGGCAGGGAAGACAGCCACCTCAAAAACAGCAGGAGCTGTTTGGAAGGTGGGGGCCTATCAGTCTGGAAGGGAAATTCTCTTCCTCTCCCAGCTCTGTCTCCCTGTGTGCTGGTTTCTGTGTCTTGAGCAGCTCAGCATGAGCCCAAGCATATGGAGGAAGGAGTTACGAGTTACATCTCATTAAGTAAGGACTCAGCTGGCCGCCAGTACCCAGCATACAGCTGGAGAGAAGTAGGATTTTCACACAACACAGAAATTGAATCAGACTCCAGATTCTCTTTGGCCTGCACATCCTGAACAAACCATGCAAAGCCTTCTAAATCCAGAGCTAGTCATAGACAAATAAAGACAATTGTCTAGTATTTGTAAAATCTGAGTATTGTTTTCAGTCCATTCTGACCAGTTTGTGTGTGTGTGTGTGTGTGTGTGTGTGTGTGTGTGTGTGTGTGTGTGTATGTGTGTTGATTGTGGGGCTTGTTGTTGGGGTTACATTTTCATAATAAAGTCCTGTATCAATAATAGTACAGTCATGATTTGGGGCATTTGTATTCATTATATTCAATAATGTAATGAACAAGAGTTCTCTAGATATCAACATAAAATATATGATAGTTATGTCTACTTAACTTTTGTATGTCTTCATTATTTATGGCTGTTAAACAGATAATTTCAAATTCTACCATTATGTGTAGTGTCCACTGGCAATAAGTAAATTCTTAGAAGATAATCCTTTCTCAACCTAGAATTCATGTATAGTTTCTTTATTTGTGGAGTGGAACCTCAGGCTCTTGCCAGAGTGTGGTAAGAGTTGTTATGCATGTGAGGGTCTGACTGCCTGGAAGCTGGAGCGCAGTGTAGAGTGAGGATGCTGGCTGATGTGGTCTCAGCATCCCTGGGGCTCAGAGGGTCATTTGTTCTGTGGTTGCTATTTATATATTAAGGATTTCTCTTTAGTATTGTATTCTGCTTGCATTTTTCGCAGATTTGGAGTTCTAACAACTATTTAATATTTCTTCGAATTTCAGAATGAGCATCATTCCATTCACTCAGTCTCTGTCTCAAAGGTTCCGTGTAGCACAATGAGTTTTAATGTAGTTCTTTTCGCACCTTTCTTTTTTTCATTGTGTGGATACTCTTGCTTGGCTTTTTCACTCAAAGCTTACACTTGAGCCATGTCTTCAGTTCCAGATTTTTGCTTGTTAATTGGACATAAGAGTCTCTTGAATTTGTCTTCCCCAAGCTGGCTTCAAACGACAGTCCTCAGATCTTAAGACTCCTAAGTAGTTAAATCAATGCCCAGCACAACGTCTGTTATGAGATATACCTGATAAATATTTACAGTGCACAGTTGGATAAATTTAACATAAACATTATATACTTATGACCTATCAACACTACCCATAGTAGTACACATATCTATCGTCCCCAAAGTGTCCCTTTGGGAATCTCTACTTCCCATGGCCTCCATAGCTGATACTGCTAGTTTGCTTTATGTCACTACAGGCTAGCCTAGCTTTCAATGAAGTAAAATTTTGTTTATCAAGTCATACAGTGAAAGTATGTTGAGAATTATCCATGTTTCAATTTACATTTTATATTTAAAATGTAACTCCATTTAAGTTTCTAGGTAGGAGATAGTTGTTTAAAACTTAACTTTTTTGAATTTGGTTGAGAAATTTCTTTCTTTTTTTTTTGTCGGTTGTGGGGCTTGAACTCTGGGCCTGGGCGCTGTCCCTGTGCTCTTCAGCTGAAGGTGAGCACTCTACCACTTGAGCCACAGTGCCACTCCGGTTTTCTAGTGGTTTATTGGCGATAAGAGTCTCACAGAGTTTCCTGCCCGGGCTAGCTTTGAACTGCGAGCCTCAGATCTCAGCCTCCTAAGTAGCTAGGATTACAGGTGTGAGCCACCAGTGCCTGGCTGAGAAATTTTTTAAATACTAGTTTTACTGAAAAGAAATTACAAGATTTCTATGCTATATATTGTCCTGGTGAAAAGTCAGCTCCAGTATCTGAATTGTACTCAGGTAAAGTACCTCAATTGAAAACCTTAGGCTTCTAGCCAGATGTCACATTAGTTCAGTGCTATAAGGCTTTTTTGGGTTTTTTTAAAAATATTAAGTATTATATTTACTTTGAGAAGTGCCATATGTCTAGTGATATTGCCATAGTTGCTAATTACAGATTTATTTTAATTTGCAGGTTCCTTCCAGTTATGGGTGTGAGAGGCTTGCAGGGATTTGTAGGAAGTTCCTGCCCTCATGTATGTACAGTGGTGAATTTCAGAGAGCTGTCAGAACACCACCGAAGCACGTACCCAGGATGTACTCCTACCATCGTGGTGGATGCCATGTGCTGTCTCCGATATTGGTATACTCCAGAATCTTGGATCTGTGGTGGCCAGTGGAGAGAATACTTTTCTGCTTTGCGTGATTTTGTTCAAACCTTTACAGATGTTGGTATCAAGTTGGTATTCTTCTTTGATGGCATGGTAGAGAAGGGTAAGAGAGATGAGTGGGTGAAGCGGAGACTTAAGAACAACAGAGAAATATCCAGAATTTTCCAGCATATCAAGTCACACAGGGAGCAGCCAGGCAGAAACATGTTCTTTATTCCTTCTGGGCTTGCTATATTTACACGATTTGCTCTGAAGACCCTGGGTCAGGAAACTTTGTGTTCTTTACAGGAAGCAGATTATGAGGTGGCTTCCTATGGTCGCCAGCACAACTGTCTTGGAATTCTTGGGGAAGACACTGATTACTTGATTTATGACACTTGTCCCTACTTTTCAATTAGTGAACTCTGTTTAGAGAGTCTTAGCACTGTCATGCTCTGTCGAGAGAAGCTCTGTGAAAGTTTGGGCCTCCAGGTGTCAGACCTTCCTCTGTTGGCATGCTTACTTGGCAATGATGTTGTTCCAGAGGGCATGTTTGAAAGCTTTCGGTACAAGTGCTTGTCTTTCTACACTTCTGTGAAAGGAAACTTTGACAAAAAAGGTAGTGTTATCTTAGCTGTGTCAGACCACATATCTAAAGTTCTTCACTTGTATCAAGGTGAGAAAAAATTAGAAGAAATGTTACCTTTGGGACCAAACAAAGCTCTCTTTTACAAAGGAGTAGCATCCTATCTTTTGCCAGGACAGAAATCTCCATGGCTTTTCCAAAAACCCAAAGGTGTAATAATGGAAAAGCAAACAATAGCCATAAATTCAGAGGTTTCCCTATATACAGATTCTGATTCCAAGCCAGAAGCTCCCATGTGTACAGATTCTGATTCCAAGCAAGAAGGCCACATGCATACAGATCCTGATTCCAAGCAAGAAGTTCTCATGCGTACAGATCCTGATTCCAAGCAAGAAGTTCCCTTGTATACACACTCTGAAATCAAGCACAAATTATCTGTGGGAGCAGATCCTGAATTGAATCCAGAAGCACCTGAAAATAAAGAAGAAGATCTTATGAATGCAGAGGCTGAAATAAAGCAAGAGCTAACCATGGTTTCAAACCCTGAAATCTTAAAGGTAGGTGAATGCCTTCCCCCAGTTTTAAGGTAATCATGATGAAAGTGTACCCATTGATGAATTTGTTAAGGATACACATAATAGGAATCTCTGAGTCTCAAAATGATGATACTATGCATATTGTAACCTACATCCAATGTCCATGAATATAATGGGAAAATGACTGTTGGAATTGTAAGCTGAATTGTGTGTTGTAAGGTACAAGAAGAAAGCCCGAAAGAGGTAGAACCAGAAAGAGACATTTGGGGGGCCAACATTTGCTTTGAATAAACAAACATGAGGATGTACGAGCTCTCCAGAATACATTTGGACCTTTGTCACTGAGCACAAGAATTTCATCCAGGCTGAAGCCTAGGGTTTGGGGAAGGGGGAGAGAATTGAAAAGGTAATGTAGTTACAGTTGTATTGGTTAAGTTATTAAATGCCACAGTCAGAACTTTGAGCTAATTCTCAATGTACTATGGAACATTTGAAGATTTGCGGGGAGAACCACTGTTAACCTGAGTATATGAGTTCTGTGCTAGGCATAATGCTTATCTGTTTCCATTTGACCTGCTCAGCTCTCTGAAAAAGACATTATCCTGGGGTTTGTTTTTCTCCTCGTGTTGGGGATCAGAACCCCAGGCTTCAAACATACCAAGCACATGCCCTACCCTAGAGCTGTATCTGCAAGCCCATTATCATGGCTTAGCCATGTAAGTCTACGTGAATGTCACGAACCTTTGTGCACAACTTGGTCTCACTCTCTTTCATCTAGTCACAGAATTCCTAGCTGATCAGACCCAGGAATTTGCTCCTACTTTTCATAACCAATCTTACTGTATCTTGTGCTTTTACCTGTTAAATGAGTTGTGGATTTGTATGGTATCCATTTCAAACCCACTCTAATTCCAGCTGTGTTTTGCTTGGCTTCCTGTCTTAATCTCCAAGATCTCTTCCTAAGCAGACTTCCCCATCGAGTCTCTGTCATGCTTCATGTAGAAATAAAACCCTTTATGGGGCTGGGGGTTTAGCCCAGCAGAAGGGCGCCCGCCCGGCACACACAAGGCCCTGGGGTTCAGTCCTCAGCCCTGGAAAAAAAAAAAAAAAAAAAAGAAAACCCTTTATTTCCATTTTGTAACTCTTGGGCAAGAAAATAATACTGTGGGTCCTGGGACATGGGTGCCTGATCCCTACCTGTTTCTTGTCTCACTGGCACTCTGTGGGCTCTCTAGCCATCACAGCCTCCCGAGTACTCTTTTCCCTCCTGGAAAGCCCTCCTACCTCTCCTGCTAGTTAATGCTTACAAGTCTTTTCTGCTAAAACTGTGCATTGGGGCACAGTGGTTCCATGTTGATGTGATATATCTTTTTCTGAGATAAGGTCTCGCTGTATATATTTATCCCAAGATGGCTTTGAATGCTTTTTGCAACCTAGCTAGTCTCAAACTTCTGATCCTCCTGCCTCAGTCCCCCAGAGTGCTGGAATCACAGGTGTGGCCCACCAGGCCCAGCACCCATGTTTAAGTGATGACTAACGTCTTTCCTCCTAGTCTGGCAGTGCCGAGGGAAAGCCCTTATGATTTCTCAATGCTGTAGTCCTCATGCTTAGCATACAGTCTCATCATAACTGTTATTTAAATGTACTTTTTTGTACTGTCTTTAGCTTTACTCCTTAGTGGCTTCTTCCCTTCCTGCTGTACAGGTATATCAATCTCTCTTCTCTTTAAAAAAAAGTCATTAATCTCTTGGGCTGGGAAGGTGGCTCAGTGGTAGAGTGCTTGCCTTGCATGCATGAGGCCCTAGGTTTGATTCCTCAGCACCAGAAAAAGTTGGAAGTGGCGCTATGGCTTAAGTGGTAGAATGCCCTTGAGCTGAAGAGCTGAGGGACAGTGCCCAGGCTAAGAGTTCAGGCCCCACAACTGACAAAAAAAAAAAAGTCATTAATCTCTTTTCTGTTGTATTCATTAGTTAGCAAATAACCTATAAGTTTCAGTAAAGACAAGAGTTAATAGATGATCCTGAACCTTAACCCATAGTGATTCTATTTAAATAAGTAAATAAATAAAATAGCTGGATGCAACACAGCTTCTAACCTCCATCAGCTCAGAGTTTGTTAGGAGAGGTGAGCCCTGTGAGTGAAGGACGGTTAGCTCCTCTTGGGGACGGAGGGGTGGATTTGTGGAGAAGGAGACACTAGAAGTCAACCCAAGAGGACTGAAGTGGGACGTTGGGGAGCAGTGGCAGAAAAGATGTTCCAGATAGGATTTTTGACTTGGAGCATAAGGGAAAGTGATAGAGGACTGTTCTTGGGAAACGAAGATGTTTCGTGGCAGTTTCTATAAGAGCAAAGTGGTATGCCAGCAGATAGGATATTGAGGCCTTATGGTAGGGGCAGAAATATCATGGTGAACTTTCAAATATCCTGCAGAGGGAAATAAAGAAGAGTCTTTTTTCAAGAAGACAACACGGTGGTGATGTGAAAGATGGGTTAGAAGGGAGTGTCAGTTAAGAATCTTATAGTGACCCTGGAAAAAAGTGAGCACAGAGTTACGGGGAGGTCTCATGTAGGCAAAATAATGAAGTACTGCAGAGGTAAATATGGTGACTGGTAGATGATTGCAGGGAGAGGGAAGAACATAAAAATATTTTGAACCTAGTAGCCCAAAGTGCTACTTGATAAGAGTTTAAGTAGCAGGTACTCCTTTCTGAGTACCTTAGCAAAGCTGCCCTGTTGTGGGCTCTGTTGACTGTTTGTAGTGGAAGCCCATTTTGTTTACAAGGAAAAACCCATTGCATTTGAATTTTGAACAGGTTGCTAGGATGCATCACGTACATGCAGAAAGTTACCTGGTGTACAACATCATGAGTAGTGGAGAGATTGAATGCAGCAACACACTGGAGGATGAGCTGGACCAAGCTCTGCCCAGCCAGGCCTTCATCTACCGTCCTGTCCGGCAGCGGGTGTACTCACTTTTACTGGGAGACTCTAAAGGTGAGAGCAGGTTGGTCTTTTGTAGCGATGGCGTGTAGAGCTGAAATCCGAGAAAATGCCTGATGAACTAGAGTTCATTCTTTCAGACAGCAGACAATTAAACAGGTTTTACTCTTCTTTGAAATCTGTGATTGAGAATGGCATTTACATTTGTAAAAAATGAAAGATTAATGTCAGATATCTGTAATCAGCAAGCATTTGATCAGTCACTGATGAAAACGCATTGTTTTATGAGATGCCTTATTTTTATGCCTTAAAGGGATTTTTACTTTTATACATTGTCTTTAAAAATATAACATCTTTCTTTACAGTTTTTGTAATTAATTCTCAATTTTTCCCATTGCTATTTTCATCATGTACTTTAAAAAAAGAATAATAGAGGAGGGACTGGGAAGGTGGCTCAGTGGTAGAGTGCTTGCCTTGCATACATGAGGCCCTGGGTTCGATTCCTCAGCACCACATAAGCAAAAAGAAAAAAAGCTGGAAGTGGCGCTGTGGCTCAAGTGGTAGAGCGCTAGCCTTGAGCTGAAGAGCTGGGGGACAGCACCCAGGCCCAGAGTTCAGGCCCACGACCGGATCCCCTCCCAAAAAAAAAGAATAATAGAGGATCATCAATGTCTAGAGTTTGATGTTTTCTCTTTGCCTCTTAAAAGTTTTTCACTGTAATTTAGCTAAGTGCACAGAAAGTTCCAGTGCCAGAAGCAATATTTTCTGTGTTATTTTGTGGTGGTACTAAGGTCTGAACTTGTAGCTTTGCCACTCACTAGGTAAACATTCTACCATTTTACCTCCAGTTCTGTTTGCTGTGGCTACTTTTTGTCCAGGCTAGCCTAGACCTTGAACCTCCTATTTATACTTTTTCTTTTCTTTTCTATCTTTCTTTCTTTTTTCTTTTTTGGCCAGTCTTGGGGCTTGAACTCAGAGCCTAGACACTGTCCCTGAGCTCCTTTGGGTCAAAGCTAGCACTCTGCCACTTGAGCCACAGCACCACTTCTGTCCTCTTCTGAGTAGTTTATTAGAGATAAGAGTCTCATGGCCTTTCTTGCCCGGGCTGGCTTCAAACCACAGTCCTCAGATCTTAGCCTCTAAGAAGTTAGGATTACAAATATGAGCCACCAGTTCCTGGCTAATTTACACTTTCTTTGTTGAGCTGAAGTCTTGTGTGGTAAAGTCACACAGGTCCCAGGGGGACCTGTTGGGTCCAGCAGGTACTAAGTGGTAGTGCGTTTGTAAAGCTCTTGTCTGGACCTTAAGGGGACAGACTAGCAACAGGCCTAGAGTTCTGGGGTAAAGGTTCCGTGGGTCTGTACCTGGTAAGGGCTAGACTTCAAGAATGTTAGCCTTTAGGGATGGATAAGAAGAGAACAGCTTTGCAAAGGGAAATAAGACTAGTTAGGGAGGCCCCACAAGGGGCAGGGGTGTTAACAGCTGAGGGGGGACATAGTGATTGCAAGACTGTGGGCCAGTAGCACCCCTGAGTCTCATGACATCATCCCTGTGGGGCAGACTAGGCGACTAAAAACTAAAACGAGGAAAGCCACTGCTCACTTTACTGTCCAAAAGCAGGAGCGAATTAGTAACTAAAGAAAGATGTGGAAACGGGTTATACCGTGGGGGAGGGATATACAAAGCAACAACAACAAAAAATCACCTTATAAATATGTTAGAAACAATCGCAAGAATGAAAAAAACATTTGAGTCTTTATCTTGGGGTTCATTTCGCCTAACATCAACTTATCTGACCTTTTCTGCTTGACTCAGACATATACTAGATATTGCAAATAAGGGAAACCATGAGACCTATGTTTCTTTGGGCCTGGCTTACTTCACTTAATATAATTTTTTCCAAGTCTTTCCATTTCCTAACAAATGGGGCAATGTCATTCTTTTTGGTGGAGGCATAGAATTCCGTTGTGTATATCTGCCACATTTTCTTGATCCATTCATCTCCTGGGTGGCATCTGGGTTGGTTCCATATCTTAGCTATGGTTAATAATGCTGTGGTAAACATAGTTGGTATAATTTGAGGAGGGGAAGGGAAAAAACAAATTGTTTAAATAGGGATACAGGTGGACCCATTGCAACAATGAAAGGTACAAAATGCTGTGTCGAGAAACAAACTTTACAACTTTGGTTGGGGAGAGGAGAGAGGGTTGGAGGGAGTTGGGGAGAAGGGATGGTAAGGGGAAACAAAGGAGGAGGCAACAATGCTTGATAAGAAATGTACTCATTGCCTTGCTCATGTACTTATAACCCCTCTGTATGGTATTTTCACAATAAAAAAACATTAATAATAAAAAAATTGAGAAAAAAAGAAAGATGTGAGACCTAGGAGCTCAAACACAGGAACCCAAACCAGGGGCTCAGGAGACAGGGAAGGGTCAATTAGTATAAAAGGTCTCAAAGCCGAAAGAGCCTGCAGGCAATAGACTAGTCCCATCACCATGTAGAGAAGGGCAGTGCTGGCATTTAATGACTTAAAAGACAGGCCAGGCATTCACATTGCCACGCCTAGTAAGGGAAAAGAATTTAAGTCACACTGATTTGCAGGCGTCTGGGTGGAACTGGGTTTAAGTAGGGCCTCACACTTGGAAGGCATATTTTACTGTCACCCCCCCCCTCTGGACCTTTCTGAGATAAAATCTTGTGTTTCTGCTGGAAACAGACTGGACCATGACTCTCCTATTTGTGATTCCTATGTAAGTGGAATGACAGGCATGTGCTACCATGTCTACTTGTTGGTGGAGATGATGGAGTCTTAGAGCAGTTAAATTTATTCAACATACAGAGCTTTTGTTCTAGATTATTGCTACCAGTTTTTAAATAGTCTCATTGAATAGTTTTGATACTGTATTCAAATAATTCAAGACCAGAAAGGATTCTCATGAGCAGGTAAGGTGGCTCAGTGGTAGAATGCTTGCCTTTCATGCATAAGGCCCTGGGTTTTATTCCTCAGTGCCGGAAGTGGCACTGTGGTTCAAGTGGTAGAGCGCTAGCCTTGAGCTGAAGAGCTGAAGGACAGCGCCCAGGCCCAGAGTTCAGCCCCCATGACTGACAAAAAAAGAAAAAAGGACTCATATTCCAACGGTTTTTCAAAGCATTTGTTTGCAATAGTGAGACAAAGACGTCATTCCTGGACCTGTTGGCTAACTCCAAGGTCCTGGCTCTTATTGGAATTAGAGGGTCACCTTCAAGCTTTAAGATAGGCAGCAGCTGTTGACTGTGGTCACTCTAGTCCTTTGGATAAGAGATGAACTTGTGAGGCAAATAGGCACTCATGGACCTTACAAGGCTCTTGTACCTTCTGACCTGTTGTCTTCTTTCAGATGGAGCTAGCACTGACCCAGTGGTCAAAGAGTGGTTCGTCTACCCTGGGAATCCACTGAAACACCCAGACCTTGTCAGGCCGCTGCCAATGACTGTTCCAGGTATGGACACCCTGATCTATTAGTAGGTCTGCTATGCAAATGCCTTTTTTCAGAGTTACATGTGAACTGATTGTTTATTTTAATCCTGGCCATTGATGCCCTGCCTCAAACCCAGAGATCAGTCAATAAACACCACAGAATTTATCAGGATTGGGCTCTGAATATTTACATAAATCAACTCTTCAGAAAGGTATTTAGATGAAGAGAAGTGAGAAGAAAGGAGATAATGAGATTATTGCATCTAGAAAAACAAATTTTCATAGTTTGTATCTTGGAACTTAATGAGAGGGAAAAAAAATTCACTAAAAATTGTATGAAGTGAATCTAAAGAACAGTCTCCCTACAAGTTCTCAGTGTATGAACAAGGCCAAGAGTGTCAGGCAGTCCCTTCGGAGGGAAAGGGTCCGGAGTGCCTCGCATTCATGGTGTGTCCTGTGTGTGGACAGCTACAGGGGAAGAGAGAAGAAAGAGTTTAGTACTTGGGTTGCTACATGGGAAGGGATTCAGATGTATCCAGCACTCAGGGTGTGCACGAGAAACAACTCCTGGGAGGGGTTGACAGTGTCCAATTGTTGGAGTTTGTCCTAGCACTGGAGTAACCTTGTGTGTGGACCATTACAGGGAGGAAGTCAGGAGTGTTTATAGGTGAGGATGTTCAGGGTATTAATTTGTGACTGCTATAAGGGCAGAGAGAGACTTTTTTATATTTTTGGCGGCTGTTCTCTCTTTTTGAGAAAACATTTTTGTCAATTTTTATGCTCTTATTTTCATGTACTTTAAATTCTATGATATTATTACTAATTGCCATCCATAGAGTTTGTAATGTTCCAAATAGAGAGCTGAGCAATGCAGATGGCTTCCTAATAAGTGGAATTGATTTAGTATGTTGCTGCCTGTCCATAATCCTAGAACATGGGAGAATAAGACATTAGTCATGAGTTCAAGGATAGCCTGGGCTACAGACCCTGTCTAAAATAAAGTTAGGGTTGCGCTAGAAGTAATTGGACAGTTTTTTTTTTTAATTGTAGGAGGTATTTCATTATTCTGTTCATTTGTGATGGATTCAGCCCTAAAAATGAAAGTACAAAACCAAATTGATGTATTAGTAGGAGGCGTCTGGGAATGTGGCACAGTGGTAGAGCACTTGCATAAGACCATGGGTTCAATTCTTAGCACTATATGGGATAGGTAGATACTACATTCACACTTGTTTTTAGGAAAATGATCTTTTTTAAAGGATAATTGATTTTTTTTTTTTTTTTACCAGTCCTGGGGCTTGAACTCAGGTCCTAGCGCTCTACCACTTGAGTCACAGCTCTGCTTCTGGCTTTTGTTGGTAGTTTATTAGGGATAAGAGTCTCACGGACTTTCCTGCTCAGGCTGGCTTTGAATCGTGATCCTCAGATCTCAGCCTCCTGAGTAGCTGGGATGACAGGTGCATGCCATCGGTGCCTAGCAATAACATTTTAACTGTTTCATTATTAAGTGAAGTAAGCAGGCCCATAGAGGCGGAGGCTGCTGCTTCCTCTCATAGGTGGGAGCTACAATTAGTTTTTAAACATATAGGTAAATTGAGTAGTATGCAAGTGTATACAGATGTAGTAACTGAAATATAATAGAAACAAGGGAAAATTCAAGTAGTGTAATTCCTTAGAAAGGTGAAATCCAAGTTCAACAAAATAAACACCAGGAAATGGTAACTTGAAAGGGGTGGGTGGACTCAAGGGAAGAGGGGTAGAAGGGTGAGAATGCAATCAAGAACACAGTGTACACCCTGCAAAATTAAAAAGGCAAAGGGAGGGGTGGGTGAGAACCTGGACAGGTGACATTTTTGATTAAGACCCACTGTGTTGAATGCAGCTGCTTTGTGTAACCACCTAAGATTATTTTTTACAGTTTTATTGTACAGGTTATTTCCATCTCATGTATTTTTCCAGAAGTATATGGAAAATATCATTGTTCAAACCAGAGAATATTGCCTATTCATTGTGTACCATGAATTAGTCTTAAAGATACTCTATATCAGTCACTAACACCATAGGATTTATCATGGTTTTTTTTTTTTTTTTGGTCAGTTGTGGGACTTGAACTCTGGGCCTGGGCACTGTCTCTGAGCTCTTCATCTCAAGGCTAGCACTCTACAACTTGAGCCACGGTACCACTTCTGGTTTTCTGAGTGGTTTATTGGAGATAAAAGTCTCACGGACTTTCCTGCCCGGGCTGGCTTTGAACCGCAATCCTCAGATCTTAGCCTCCTGAGTAGCTAGGATTACAGGCATGAGCCACTGGCGCCTGGCCTGCTTTTTTTTTTTTTTTTTAACTCAAGACTTCTCACTTGCTAGCTGGGAGCTTTACCACTTGAGCCACACTTCCAGCCTGGTTTATTTTTCCTGTCTGGGATAAGGTCTCTTACTTTGCTGCCTAGGCTAGACTTGACCCATGCCCTTCTGCTCTCAGCTTCTGAATAGCTAGGATTACAGGCATGAGGTACTAGAAGTCATAAGAATCAGAGAGGCTCCTAGGGCTCTTGAAAACATTTCTTAGCAATACCTAGATATCAACTGAAGCAAGCACTGCTGTGGACCACTGCCAGCTTCCTTGCCACAGCCCAGACACAAACGACATGGCTCATGAACTGACTGAACTTTGTGGTCAGTGACTTCGATGATAAGTACTTTACTTTAGTGTATTTATTTGGCAGTACTAGGATTTGAACTCAAAGCTGTACACTTGACAGATTCCCTACCATTTTTGCCATGTGTCCAGTTCTTTATGCTTTATTTTTCTTTTTTTGACTCTAAACCAAGCTTTATACTTTAAAATTACACTTAGTAATGAAATTTAGTTTACATTAGTTGTATACATTGTATACAACTGGGGGGAGGGGACTAAATTGTGGTATACATTCCATTCATTCCAGCAATGAGAAAACACCATAGTGAGTCATCATTAAAAGTATCCATTAATAAATTACTTTTATTCTCATTAAATGAGCAGAGTCATAAGCATATCAATAACATGTTCATTATCACATGTCCATCAGTGCAACTTTCAATTCTGCTTAAAACATGCATATCGTCCTAGAGATGATCATTTTCCACTGTTTGTTATGTGGTACACATTACTGCAAAGCCATTATAAACTTGCTTTAGTTATTTTTCAGATAGGGTTTCAGGTTTGCCTGACCTCCTACTTGTGCCTCTCAAATAGTTGGGTTCCACCTATGAGCCACTAGGTCTGGCCTTGCTTGTATTTATTTTAATGGTGCTAGATAGAAGAAACGATTTTAAAATAGCCAGGAGGAAAATTGCTGACTGATTGTTAATATTGTGGGGGGAAATGATGAATAATCTTAGAATAAGGTTAGCAGAGCGTCCAATTGCCTGGTACAGGCTTTCTCACAAAGTTCAGAATACAAATTATGGAATATTGATGACTGACTACTGAAGTCAGAAAATGCCTTCAGAGTGCTTTGTTGCAGCCTTGGAGCCTTCTGTCTTGGTGGCAGAAGACAGTAGTTCTGTATTAGAGTTGACTCTTACCTGGGTTTTCTTGTTCTTGAGCAGTAGTTTGCATTGTTGGCCTCATAAAAGCCGTACTTGTGGTTTTCTTCTTTTTGTGTGTGTGAGTGTGTATGTGCACGCACGTGTGCTCACACACGTGTGCACAATAGTCCTGGGGCTTAAACTCAGAGCCTGAAAAAGCTAGCATTCTACTAATTGAGCCACAGCTCTACTTCTGGCTTTTTGGTGATTAATTTTAGATAAGAGTCTCACAGCTTTTCCTGCCTGGGCTGGCTTTTATCAGTGAGCCTCAGATTTCAGCCTCATGAGTAGTTAGGGTTACAGGTTTGAGCCACAGGCACTGGCTCTGTTCTTTCTATAGACCTTTTTTTCTCTAACAGCATATGTGGCTAAGTTTTTGCTTTCTTAAATCATAGCAATAAGAAAGAAGTCATAGATACTTTTCATCAAAGTGGGAGGGAAGCAAAGAGTTGCAGAAAAGATAATAGAAATTCCTTAAAGATTAGGAAGAAGCCAGGCATTAGTGGCTCACACCTGTAATCCTAGCTACTTAGGAGGCTGAGATTTGAGGATAGTGGTTCGAAGCCAGCCCAGGCAGGAAAGACTGTGACACTCTGATCTCCAGTAAACAACCAAATAGCCAGAGATGGAGCTTTGGCTGAAGTGGTAGAGTGGTAGCCTTGAGCAAAAAAAAAAGGCAGGGACAGCTCCTAGGCCCTGAGTTCAAGCTCCAGGAATAGTGCACGCTTGTGTACACACACACACACACACACACACACACACACACACACATACACAATCAGGAACAGGAGCTGGATATAGTAGTTCATACTGGTCAGTCAAGCAATTTGAAAAAGTAATTATGAATTTTTGGCCAGCCAGATTGAGCTACGTAGAAAACCAGTTTCAAAAAAAAAGAAGGGAAGCCGGGCGCTGGTGGCTCACGCCTGTAATCCTAGCTACTCAGGAGGCTGAGATCTGAGGATTGCGGTTCAAAGCCAGCCCAGGCAGGAGAGACCGTGAGACTCCTATCTCCAATAAACCACCAGAAAACCGGAAGTGGCGCTGTAGCTCAAGTGGTAGAGCGCTCGCCTTGAGCTGAAGAGCTGAGGGACAGCTCCCAGGCCCAGAGTTCAAGCCCCACGACCGACCAAAAAAAAAAAAAAAAGAAGGGAAAGGCGATGGGGAGGGGGGGGGGGGGGGGGGAGGAAGGTCAGGAACTAAAGTTGGCCATTCCTGGAAGAAGAAGGAGCCGAATGGTCCTTTGGTCCTTGGTTGCTATTAGTCTTTGTTTCATTCACATGCATACAGTGAAATCCTAATCATTGGTAAGATGGTTAGGAAGTAGGGCATTTGGAAAATGGTTAGGTAGATAGTAAGGGAAGTTGCTTTTCTCATTTTCCCATGTCAGGACACAGCATGTGCCATCTGTGAACTGGAAAACTGGCTCTCAGCAAACACCAGCCATGCAGGTGCCCACTCATTTGGCTTTAACTCCTCTACATAAGTTGTTTTCAAACTTTTGTGTGCAAAATAATCAGTTCAGAGACTTTAATATTAATTTTCCAGGATCTATGGGCAGACTTTCTGATAAAATTTATGTATGCCAGGTAGTCTTGATTTAAAAAACCCCCAAGACAGGATGTGATCTTGGACCCCATGCTCTGTAAACCACTTCCCTGAAGTATAGTGATGTGCATCTGCAATCCCAGCCATGCGATGTTGCAGGGATTGCAGACGCACATCACTATACTTGACATTTTCTTTTTGTTCTGGGACTTCCTTAAGCTAAGATACTCCTGTCTCCAAACACCAAGTAGCTGGCATTACAGGCACTTCATCTAGCTTACACTTCAGGAATTTCTGTTGGATAGCTTTAGGGAAGTGGTATTCAAACGGTGACTATGGCTTGAGGCTAGCCTGAGCAAAAAGTACATTTTCTGAAAAGTAACGAAAGCAAAAAGGGCTGGAGGCATGGCTCTAGTGATAGTATCTGCAGAGCAAGCATGAGGCCAATTTTTAAAAATATATTCTTTTTTTTTTTTGTCGGTCATGGGGCTTGAACTCTGGGCCTGGGCGCTGTCCCTCAGTTCTTCAGCTGTCGACTAGCGCTCTACCACTTGAGCCTCAGCCCCACTTCCGGCTTTTTCTGCTTATGTGGTGCTGAGGAATCGAACCCAGGGCCTCAGGCATGCAAGGCAAGCGCTCTACCACTGAGCCACCTTCCCAGCCCGGCTGTTGTATCCTTGAGTCAGGTATTAAAGTCTGCTCTGAGATCATACAAGTGAGTAGGAGTGAAAGTTCCTAGTATGCCTTTGAACTTACTCATTATAAAGAAGAGATTTTCAGTAAGGTCTGTTTGCAAGCCTTTGCTTTGTTTTTGTCAGGGCACTGCTCATGTTTGCCTAGTTCCTTTTTGTTGTGAAGCTTCAAGTATACTATAAAAATGATAAATGGACAGTTCAGGCTTTTTTATTTTTGACTAGGGGGAACACCTAGTTTGGAAGTTTTGTGGCTGAACCTAGAACCAGCAGCACAGAACCAGCGCCTGGACACACTGCTAGCTTGCTTCAACCTCTCTTCCTCAAGAGAAGAGCTGCAGACAGTTGAAAGCCCGTTGAGAGCTCTGTGCTGCCTCCTGATCTACCTCTTCGTCCAGGTAATGTCCAGTTCTCTGTTTTCAGGGCTACAGCTCCTTCCTACTGCTAGAAAGACATTGGTTCCAGGGTTCTGTGGCTATATCTACCATCCGCTCCACTGTTATCTTTTCCCAGTGTCTGTTCCATGGAGCACCATTAGTTCTTTGAGATGTTCTAAAACATTAAGAAGGATATGCACAGAGATACAACTAAGGGCCTGCTGCTTCATTAAACCTGGTGGTGCTGATACTTGTAAGAATGTAGATGTTTGGCAGTCATGTAGGGTTTCTTTTGTGTAAGCTCTCTCAGAGATTGGGCCCTGTTGCTCCTCTTCTTTGTGGTTGTTGGGAGTAGTTCTGCTCCCATGTGCTCATGAAATGCGAGAGACTTCTCTGCAGCCCCAGCTTCTCCCTTGTTACAGCTGTGTCTCTGGGAAAATCGGTTCTTCTTTCTTAGGCCACCTTCATCAAGTGTCTGCTAAACACTTCCTAATCAGAAAATGACATAATAATAGCTACTTTCTTTTCTTGAGTTATTAGGTAATCACATATGTGTTTTTAATTTTTTTATTATTGTAAAGGTGATGTACAGAGGGGTTACAGTGACATAAGTCAGGTAAAAAGTACATTTCTTTTTGGACAGTGTCACCCCTTCCCATGCTCTTTCCCGATTTTTCTTCCCATCTCCACCCACAAGTTGTTCATTTTCAACATCGGGTCTAGGGAGTACCACTGCTGCATCCATTTCTGTGCCCTCCTTTATCCTCCCAAAGACAGATAAACAAGCAAGATGAAGAGAAAGTAAAACAAAAACAGTAACAAAGAAAAACCTCTTGTTTCCACTTCCTGGAGTTCATTTATATGATCAGCTACACATAGGCATTGCACCTTTGTGTTCCTCTCCTGAATACATAATGTATATTGTACAAGAATTGGGTGAAATGTCTTTTTGTGTGTGTGTGTGTGTGTGTGTGTGTCAGTCGTGGGGCTTGAACTCTGGGCCTAGGCACTGTCTTTGTGCTCTTCAGTTCAAGGCCAGTGCTCTACTGCTTGAGCCACATCGCTACTTCTCGTTTTCTAGTGGTTTATTGGAGATAAAGAGTCTCACAGACTTTCCTGCCCCAGCTGGCTTTGAACCGTGATCGTTAGATCTCAGACTCCTGAGTAGCTAGGATTACAGGCCTGAGCCACCAGCGCCCAGCTGAAATGTCTACTTTTTGTCCTGGCATCCTTGTTAACCATTCTCCTAGCCTGTTAAACTTGTGTGTTATCAGCTGGAGCCTGCACAAGAAAATTACAGTTCTAAGTCTTTCTGCTGAATATCTTTGTCGTTGTTCTTTTTAATGTACTTATACTATGTGGTTTTTTTTGTTTCTTTGTATGTTCTTTCCCCATGGTATATCCCTTGTTGTCACTGTATTTGAGCTGGTGTCCTGCATCTTGTATATACATTTTTCTAATTTGGGAAGGGGAAGGGACATAATGCTGAAATAAGGATATAGGATGGCCCATTGTAACAATGAGATAATGAGCTGTACAAGACAGTATGTTGAAAATGAGGGGGTTAGGGGGAGCCTGGGAGGGGAGGGAGGAGTTGGGGAGGGAAGGGATGGTAGGGGAAAGATAAAGGAGGGGATAACAATGCTCCCTAGGAAATGGACTCATTACCTTGCTCATGTAACTATAACCCCTCTGTACAGTATCTTTACACTAAAAAATATGTATTAAGAATGGGTATAGGTCCAGTGTCTCTTCTTTTTGGGCTTCATCTTATAACTTATTCCCACTCTGTTTTCTTCATTGTTTCTCTGTTTCCTTGTTCCTCTTCCATAAGTTTGTTAGACCTTTGAGTCCACAAAGATAATGTTAATCCTGATTTTCTTTTTTTTTTTTTTTTTTTGGGGGGGGGGTCTGGTCTTGGGGCCTGAACTCTGGGCCTGGGCGCTGTCCCTCAGCTCTTCAACTCAAGGCTAGAGCTCTACAACTTGAGCCACAGCACCACTTCTGGCTGTTTTCTTTTTGCTTATGTGGTGCTGAGGAGTCGAACCCAGGGCCTCAGGCATGCAAGGCAAACACTCTACCACCGAGCCACCTGCCCAGCCCCAATCCTGATTTTCTTTAAACTGAGAGCTGATGACAAAAGTCCCATCCAGGGTTGTTCCAAGGTGAATGCATCCTCAGCCCTAATCACCCTTACCCGGATTAGCTTTGGAAATTCCTAAATTGCCCTGTACAATTGGTGCCCAGAGGGAACACCTCAGGAGAGCCGTGTGTGTTCCTATACATGTACCCATGTATGCATTTCTGCAGTGCTTTCCTGTGTATGCACTTGTATGTGTTCCTTTGTGTGCATCTGTCCACATGTATGTACACTACTTGTGCCTGTGTATGTACCTGTATTTAGTAACAGATCATTTTATGAAAAGTGTTGGATTTTTTCAGAAGCCTAATGCTAGTCTATCTCTCTCTCTCTCTTTTTTTTCAGGTAGACACACTTTGTCTGGAGGATTTGCATGCATTTATTGCTCAGGCCTTGTGCCTCCAAGGAAAATCAACTGCCCAGCTTGCAAATTTACAGGTACATAGATGACCAATTAGTTGTCAGAACCCTAGAGATAACCATACTGAATGAAGAGTCAGTGTTTTCTGTGGTCTTTCTCCACTATAACTGGTATTTCACAGGAGTGTTGGGAAAGCCTCAGAGAGGTCTCCACAAGGCAGCGATTTGTCTTCATCTCTTATGCAGCTCTTGGCACTGAATCACATGCTTAGAACTTCGGCTTCCCTGTTGGTGCTTGGGAATCTGCCCTGGTCTAACAGTTTGTAGAGAAGAGCTTATTGGTAAGAACCTGGTGTCAGAATCGGAGCACCCTCTGCGGTGCTAGCAGTTGGGCCCTGGCTGACCTCACCTGGTATGTGTGTAGGATAGCAGGGTGAGCTGTCCCTCCTGTGTCCTCACCCAGTGCCTGACATTTGTTTTTTGTTATTAGGGTTTGAACTCAGAGCCTTGCATTTGCTTGGCTTGCTTGCACAGCTGGCACTCTACCACTTGAGTATATGCAAGAGAAGTTAGGCTGGCTATAGAAAACTGTACCCTTTTCCTGGTTGGATATGTATAATTTTGAATGCAAGTCATATGTTTACTGGTTTTTCTGCGCATGGATGTAGCTCTCACTGTGAACTTCACCTGCCAGGATATTTCGGAAGGACAGACTTGCTTATGTACTTCAGATAGATCACATGATTCTTAATACATAATTATTATAGCCTGTGTGGAAGTACACACATAGATAGATTTGAGTTTGAATTACTTCATAGCAAGTAAAGTGAAACACCAGATTAAATTATATAGAAGTAACATATAAAGTCTCTGTCTTTCAAAGCTCTAAGGGTGGAAGATGGATCTTATGCCCAAATCATTGAAAACATGCTTGCTAGGGCAAACTGTGGTGACCTCACAAGTCTGTGTGTTAAGTATGTTCCTCGGGACAGTCTTCATGCGTCACTCAGCCCCCACTGTGTCCCTGGGATGAAAGGAGCTTTGATCCTGGAGCCAGGAGAGCCTGTCCAGGACTCCTGTGCGTCTAGCATAGTCTGACTAGAGCACACCACCTCCTGTCTGCAGCTGTGAAAGGGGGAGAGCCACTTCGCTTGTCCGCAGTTGTTTTGTTGGTGGTGGTGGTGGTCGTGGGGTCTGGGTGCTGTACCTCAGCTCTTCAGCTCAAGGCTAGCACTCTGCCACTTGAGCCACAGTGCCACCTCTGGCCTTTTCTGTTTATGTGGTGCTGAGGAATCGAACCCAGGGCTTCATGCATACAAGGCAAGCACTCTTCCACTGAGCCACCTTCCCAGCCCCTTGTCCTCAGTTCTTGTAGCCTCTGATGTTTGCCCAGAGTAAGGCTCTCTGTTCAGTGTGGACACTGTGGCCGTGTTACTCATCACTGAACTGGATGAGTGCACACCACACACCCTGGTGGGATCAGAGCTGGGATCTGATGCCAGAGGTTCCTCTGGCACTGCTCTGGCCCAGCACTTGTGGTGACTTCAGCTCACCTAGGAAGAGCCTAGCTTTCTTTGCCCTTCCATTCTTTTAATTTTGTTCTGGGTAAATCATGACTGCCAACAAGCCACTGTAAGCGAGCCTTTCTTAGCACATATTTTATTGAGCTATTTATTGTTAAATATTTACTTTGAGGCATATGGTATATTTTTACAGTTTCTCTATTCCCATCCTATACAGAGGCCCCCGCTCCATTGTAATTCCACAGGGCTAGCTCAGTTTTTCCTGTCTTTTATTCTCAAATATCTTAAATCCTCTTTTCCAAAACAATGCTTTCCATATATTGAATTGGACAAACCAAAGGCCATGACGTTTAGTTGCGTTGAGTGCTCAGTGCTAACTAGTAAGAGACTTGGGTCTGGTTAGTACTTTACCACACTAACCAGCATCTAGGGTACTCCCTTAATTCCTTGTGCTTTGCTGTCTCTCTTTGTGATAGTAGTTGATTAAATTTAATAATTTACACTATTTAATGATTAATTTATGAATTGGATTTTGCTACCCAGCTTTTCTCAAACTGTCCTCACACAGTTGGGTACAGAAGTTCCATGACAGAGATGTGCGAAGGAGAGGCACAATCTGTTCTCTGAAACTTGCATTGTACTTAGGAAAGTGAAGCACAGGGCAGAGGTGCCTGAGGAGCACATGTAAACACATTCTGGGACTTGCATCTGGGACAATATATGTCTCCTAGACCTGAAGAAGATCTGATTTCAGAGAGCCACAGAAGTATTGTGTGTTGCTGACCAAATTCACTTTCACTAGTGAGAAAGAAGCACCTGTTCATCACACAATTCTTTCTGGATTTTTTACCTTTACCCTTGGCTTGGTGGGGTGGAAGTTTCAGGTAACCCTGAGGAACAAGGAAAAAGTACTTGGGTCTGCCAAAAACACTCTGAGGAACTTCCTGAAAGGCTGAGTCTAAGGGGAGGATGTGGCAGCCCCAGCCTTTTCTGGAACCTGCCCTATGCATCTCTTCATTTGCATTCTTCGTAAGATCTTTTGCAGTAAATTGGTAAACATGTCTCCCTGAATTTTGTGGTTACTTGAGCAAATTAAATTCAACTCAAGGAGGGTATTGTGGGAACTCCAGCTTGTACTGGTTGGCCAGAACACAGGCTGCAGTTGGTATCAGGGAGGCAGCTCACCTGTGGGGTCTGGCACTGACACTATTGTCAGGACAGACTTGGATCAGAGGACATGGTAAGAGAACCAAATGTGAATATGATGTCCCTGATGACCCACTCATGTTCCTCGTTTTTTTTCCTCTCTCTTTCTTTTTTTGTGCTGGTCCGGGAGCTTAAACTCAGGACCTGAGCCCTGTCCCAGGCTTCTTTTGCTCAAGGCTAGCACTCAACCACTTGAGCCACAGTTCTGTTTCCTGCTTTTTTGGTAGTTTAGTGGAGATGAGAATCTCACAGACATTCCTGCCCAGGCTAGCTTTGACCCTCAACTCTCAAACCTCAACCTCCTGAGTAGCTAGGATTACATGAGACACTGGTGCCCAGCATGTTCACCGTTTCCTGTAAGTGCTTTTGTTGCTTTTCATCATAAGGGTGATTACACTCTTACCAAAGTGTTAGTGTTGATGTTCCATCTTGTTTGTCAAAGCTCTAGAGATATGCACCTCACCAGTCTGCATCTGTGCCTTTGAGCCTGCTGCTGGTCATTTCTGCTCATTTCTACTCCCTGCCCTTGATTACTTGCTCTATTCTTTCATTGTATTCAGCATTTTAAAAAATTCCACATAATATATGGTAAGTATCTTTTGTGCCTACCTTATTTCACACAAGATAACGTCCTCCAGTTCTATCCATGTTGTCACAAATAATAATGTCCTTTTAAGCCGTGGGGCACTTCATTGTAATATGCCCCATTTTCCTTACTATCTTTCCCTTTATGGATCCTTTGTACTTTTCATATCTTAGCCACGTGAACCATGCTGCAGTAAACATGGCATACAGATATCTCTTCAGCATATTGATTTCATTGCTTTGATACAGAAGTGAGGATGCTGTCTTTGCTCTATTTTTATCTTCTAGAAAAGCTTTATAGTGTTTTCTATAGCAGATACACCATTTTTCACTTTTCCACCAGTAGTGTACAAAAGTTCTCTTTTCCTGTATACTCTTTTTTTTTTATTGTGAAAATATCTTACAGAGGAGTTACAATTACATGGGCAAGATAATGAGTACATTTCTCATCAAGCATTGTTGCTTCCTCCTTTGTTTCCGCTTCGTATCCCTTCCCATCTTCCCCCACCCCACCTCACCCCAGCCCCCTCTGTATACTCTTGTCAGAATTTGTCGTCATTTCTTTATCTTTTTGACCAGAGCTGTCTCTAAGGTAATATCCAAGTTGTGATTTGCATCTCCTTGATAATAAGTGATGTTGATCAGCTTTTTATATATCTATTAGTTATCTTAATGTGTTCTTTGGGGAAGCATCTGTTCATTTTCTCTGTCATTTTTTTGGGGGGGAGGGTTGGTTGTGGGGCTTGAACTCTGGGTCTGGACACTGCCCCTCAGCTCTTCGGCTCAAGGCCAGCGCTCTACTGCTTGAACCACAGCGCCACTTCTCATTTTCTAGTGGTTTATTGGAGATAAGAATCTCATGGACTTTCCTGCTGGCTTTGAACCGCAATCCTCAGATCTCAGCCTCCTGAGTAGCTAGGATTACAGGCATGAGCCACCAGCGCCTAGCTCTTTGTCATTTTTTAAACTGGGTTGTTTAACTGAATTATTTGTGTTCCTATGAGTTTGCACATAAGCCTCATCAAATATATAGCTTACAGACTTCTTTTCTTCTGCCATAGGCTTCCTTCTCTTTTTACTGATTGTCCCTTTGCTGTGTAGGAGCTTCTTAGTTGAACTAGCCCTACTTATTTTTTAAATTGCCTGAGCTTTTGGTATGATACCTCAAGAAATATGTGGGATTTCAGCTCTAGAGAGAAGCTATTCCAAGAATAGGAGACAGATAATCAGGACCAGTTGAACACAAAGAAACACTAGTAAAACAGTTAATAGAAATACAGGTTTTAGAACAGGGCTGGGAGGGAGGTTACCAGGAATTCAGTGTGCTATAGAAGACACATTCACTGAGTCAAGGTGGGCAATGTGCTAATTGTAGACAGTGCATTCTGGAGTGTTTTGCTATCAAGAAGAAAGAAAAATCATGATACACTGTTAGGAATGAAATGGATGTGGAGGATATCACAGCAGACCCCCACCACAAGTGAAAAAAATACAGTGAAACACTGCAAGCAGCTCTAAGACACATCATTCAGCTACTTGGATGCACAGGGCCAAGTCCCATGAAGCACAGATGGCATAACCCCGTCTCATTGCTATTTCATGAAAGTAAATCCAGATTTCCAAACAAAATATCAATAAATTGAATCCAGCAATAAGTAAAAGTAATGGTAGTGGCCCCTCTTAAGTAAAGGCTTTCAGGATAACTTTAAAATGTCACAATATGCAACAAAAACCTTTAATTTTCTCACCGTAGCCAAAATATGTAATCAACCCAGATGCCCCTCAGTGGATGAATGGATCAAGAAAATGTGGTATATATCAGTGAAATTCTACTCATCCATCAGAAAGAATGACACTGTACTATCTTTAAGGAAATGGAAAGACTTGGAAAACATTCTATTAAGCGAAGTAAGCCAGACCCAGAGAAACATATGTTACATGACTTCCCTTGTCTGTGGTAACCAGAATGTGCCTATAAATCTACAAGTAAACACACTGGATTGTAAAGGACAAAAAATACACGGACATGATAAACTGTACAGGTCTCTAGGCATTCACACATAGTGAGCCCAAAGGAGATGAACACACAGGCACAGTAGCTAGCTGCATCTGACCATATAAAATACTTATCAAAATGCCAGGAAGTGGAAAAAGAGCATTTTTGTTTTCTTTCTTTGTTGCAGTTTTTGTTTTCATGTCCTTTTGTCTTGATTGTTTATCTGTCTTTGGGAGGGTCAGGGGAGGCAAAGAAATGGTGGGACAAAGTGGTAAACAAATGTAGTAGTGATACTGACTAGACACTGTGTTGAAATGAACTATACCATTTGTGATTGGGGACAGGAGGGAAAAACTGGGAAAGAGCAAGGAAAGGGGTGACATTGTTCAAAAAGAAATGAGCTCTTTAACTGACCTCTGTAACCAAAATCCCTTTATACATCACCTTTATAATAATAAATACTTTTTAATATTTGATTAACTATTAATCCTGGATAATCCTGGTTCATGATACTTATCTTAAAATAGTGATTAAACTTCTCTTAATAAGTAAAACCTTGCTTAGGAAGGGGATAAAACATCTGTAACTCCTTCCTAGTTCATTTGGTTTCATAAGCTATTTTAGCACATTTTAATGAGGTTGGGCAGTATGATCAAAGTGTAGGTGCCCCGAAGGGACTTGCTTTTCTTGTGCTTAACTTGCTACTGGTCACTTGGACATTGGCCATGTTGATACCTGTGTGGGGTCACCACAGCCAGCCAGGCTCACGCTCAGAACACCAGTGATTCTCCTCATCAGGAAGGACTTGGCAAGGAGAAGAAACGCTTCATGTTACCATGACATTCTTAATTTGTAACATTAGCAGCCATCAGCCTTTTGGGTTATATATGCATTTTATTTTGAAATCAAATTTTTAAACTAAGGTTTTTAGCTGGGTGCCTGTGTTTCACACCTAAAATCCTAGCTACTTAGTTTTGTTTTTTTTGGGGGGGTCCAGTTGTGGGGCCTGAACTCTGGGCCTGAGCGCTGTCCCTCAGCTCTTTATCTCAAGGCTAGGGCTCTACGACTTGAGCCACAGTGCAGTGCCACTTCCGGCTTTTTTCTTTTTGCTTATGTGGTGCTGAGGAATCGAACCCAGGGCCTCAGGCATGCAAGGCAAGCGCTCTACCAATGAGCCACCTTCCCAGCCCAATCCTAGCTACTTAGGAGGCTGGAAGCCAGCCCCAGCAGGAATGTCCATGAGACTCTCATCTCCAAACAGCAAAAAGCCCAAAGTAGAGATGTGGCTCAAGTGGTAAAGCACTAGTCTTGAGCAAAAAAAGTTATGGGACAGTTCCATGGCCCTGAGTTCATGCCTCAGTGCTCGCTCGCTCTCTCTTTTTCTCTCTCTCTCTCCCTTCCTCTCTTTCTCTCCCCCTCCCTCCCCCCTTTCTCTCTCTCTCACACACACACAAATACACACAAATGAGGATTTTAGTCCCACAGCAATATAGTTGCATTAGCAGAAACACCGCCTGCTCATGTCTAAAGTGATGCCTTGTATGCTCTCCCTCTCCCTTTGCTTTAAAGCAAGTTTTCTAGACGGGCGCCGGTGGCTCACGCTTGTAATCCTAGCTACTCGGGAGGCTGAGATCTGAGGATCACAGTTCAAAGCCAGCCAGGGCAGGAAAAGTCCTTGAGACTCTTATCTCTAATAAACCACTCAGAAAACCAGAAGTGGCACCATGGCTCAAGTGGTAGAGCGCTAGCCTTGAGCTAGAGCTGAGGGACAGCACCCAGGCCCAGAGTTCAAGCCCTGCAACCGACCAAAGGGAAAAAAAAAAGCTTTCTGGAGGAGTAAACCTAGCAGTAAATAATCTTGCCAAGTAGCCTGTCCATCTCCCCCCAAGCCACAGTTCTGCTTCAGGCCAGTGGGCCTTTCTTTCTGGAGCCTAGAGGTATAGAACCAGACCACTGAGTGGCAGGTCTGTGTGCAAACAGGCCTGAGCAAACATCTACAGCTCATGGGGGTAGATGGTGAACAAGATGGGCTCTCTGATGGGACTCCGCGCATAACTCCCTTCAGTGGAGCTTGTTTGCAGGGCCTCTTGAAATCAACCGAACTGATGAGATCTGGTATGATGTCCAATGCTAACTAAGCAAGCATCTTTTCTGAGGAGTTAGCTTTGCAGTATTGAGCCTCCTTCAGGCACTTCCTGTATACAGTTGATTCTGTTAGAGCTCTGTGTGATTGTTTTGGTTTCTGTGTGTGTTTCTCTTTGCAGCTAGATTATATTAGTCCCAGAGCTGTACAGCTTGGGTCCCTCTTCATCCGTGGCCTCACCACCCTGGTGCTGGTCAATAGTGCGTGCGGCTTTCCCTGGACCATGAGTGCATTCATGCCTTGGAACGTGTTTGATGGCAAGCTTTTTCATCTGAAGTACTTACAATCTGAAAAGGGATATGCTGTAGAGGTTCTTTTGGAACAAAATGTAAGTTGTTCTTTGTTTTGTTTTTTGTTTTATGTTCATTAAACAACAGTAAGTTTGGAACCAGTAGCTCTAGTCATTAGGAAGATGAGGGGTTGCCTATGCTAATGGTTCCAGGGCTTTAGAAAAACAAACCTACTCCCTAGAAATACCTCGTTATTCTAGGCTTCAAAACTTCCTAGAACTAACATGCTGACTGCACTTGTATTTCTACAACTTCTTTCCTAATGGGTTCAATTGTTCCAAATACCAGAAACATGCAACTGGCAGCATCAGCATCCATATCAGTATCAGCTCATAGTCTCCTGGAATGTGTAGCATGTGTAGAGGGGAAAACCGCACTCATGTGTAGAGGGGAAAACCGCACTCCCTCAGAGGAGCCTTCTGGACACCCAGTGAGACCAGACACTTCTGAAGGCCATCCATGTCCAAGGGGACATTGGCTGCAACTCCGGTTTTCTCAGTACAGTTGCTACATTATTCCTGGAAGATTTCCAAATAAGGCCTTATGCCAAGCTCATTTGGAATGTTTTATTACCCACAGGGTTGCAAAGGCAGTGTGATCATGAGAGCATGCTGGATTGTTAGATAAAACACTACAGGCTTTCACACCAAAGGGAAAACATTTGACGGTGTGTTGCCATCACCATTTCTCACCAAAACTTAAGGACTGTAAGTGCTGAGAGCTTAGAAGTAACCTGTCCTGCACAGGCAGCAAAAGCCCTTGTGTACGTTAGAAGAGCTCACAAACAAGAAGGGAACCTGTCCTTCAGAGGTGGCAGTGGGAGTGGAACTGTGAGGTCACGCCATCCGTCACTTCTTTACTCAAAATACCTCAAGGTATTTTGGGCCAGCATCATAACCTGGGTGCTGTGTTTCTGAGGCACTCATAAGGGAAGCCGTCTCCTAAGGCACTGTGGCCACACTGAAGGACTGCAGCCTTCCTCTCTAGCATAGAGTGGACAGCCACACTGGTTGGGTGTCGTTGGGGAATGGTCCCCCTGTGGGCTGTGTCCCTCTGCCCCATGTCGGACCCTGCTGAATGTCATAGAATATGCAGCGACTCTCACTTGCATCTGATCTATCTCCAGAGATCTTGGCTCACAAGATTCCAAAACCTGAAGGCAGTGGTCTGCAAAGCTTGTGGAAGGGAGAACCGACGCATTGTGGGCAAGTCACACTGGACCTCTCACCACACAGGTGGGCAAGGCTCAGGCCCTCTACCTGTCACAGATTCTCCTAGGGCCCATCCTGGGTCAAGGGTGGACCCGGTGGCTTCCTGTGTCTTATTAAAAGAAAAAGTTCCTTGTGGGAGGCAGAGATAGGAGGATTTCAGTTCAAGCCCAGCCAAGGCAAAAAGCTGAGTCTGGAATCTGTGGTTGATACCTGTAATCCCAGCTCCTTGAGAGGCTGAGACTGTTGGGATTGCAGTTCAAAGCTTTGCCATACACATTCTCCTTGGACTGGAAAGGACAGTCTAGGCGTGTTATTGTACTGTTGAGAGGCCTAACATAGATGAGTTACACCCATGCATGTATCTGAGTGGGACGTGAGACCCTTCCTCAAAAATTAACAGTAGAAAATAGGGCAAGAGATGTGGTTAGAGTGCCTGCCTGGCAAACACAAGAACCAGAGTTCAAATCCCAGTCCAGGGTTGGGAGAAGCTGGGCCCTGTGGCGCATGCCTCTGTGGACCCTGCAGGCAGAGAGGAGGTTTGTGGTCGACGGCAGACAGGCAAAAAGTGAAAGGCCCTATCCAAAAACAATAGGATAGCAGAGCACTCCCCTCAACACCGTGCCACAGATAAATGAATGCACAGCAGCCAGAGCTTTCCACCACAGGCTGGCTGCACACTTACTGTGTGGCCTGTTTGGAGCTCTTCACCTGTTTACATTTTCCATTATTCATACTACTTTTATGTGCACTGTTCACTTACAATAGAGAATTCTAAATAGCATACACAATTATAGATCAAAATGTAATTGAACTTTAGATAAACGTTGCCAGCTTTTTTCCTCAAACCCTGTCATCACTCCCCTCTTCACCAGCAGTGATTAGGGTCTATCAGGTAGTATCTTGATAGCATTTCAAAGTGGTAGATTTAAAAAAAAAACAAATTTGAAGGCAGGTGCTGGTGGTTCAGGCCTGTAATCCTAGCTGCTCAGGAGGCTGAGATCTAAGGATCATGGTTCAAATCCAGCCTGGTCTGGAAGGTCTGTGAGACTTGTCTCCAGTTAACCCCCAGAAAAACCAGAAGTAGTACTGTAGTTCCAGGTGGTAGCACACTAGCCTGGAGCAAAAAGAACTCAGGGACAGCACCTACGCCCTGAGTTCAAGCCCCAGGACTGACATAAAAAAAAAAAATTTGATAGAAATGAAAAAGTATCTCATTGATAGTCTCATGGTGTACATCTTACTAGGATTTCTTTTGTTAATGAGCCTCGTTTTATGGTTCTGGAGCCTGAACTCAGGGTGTCACACAGCCACGCTGGCAGTCTACTACTTGAGCCCCTCCACTGTCTTTGCTCTGTTTTTGAGATAGCGTCGCTTTTTGCCCAGGCCAGCCTGGACCACAGTCCTCCGCCTTATGTTTCTTGTCATGACTGAATTTGCACCATTGTTGGCCTGTTCTTTTCCATGCATGAGGTCTTGTGACTCCTCTTGCTCCGGCTAGCCTCAGGTGTGTGCTGCCTGATCTCTGCCACCAATGCCAAGCTGCTAAAGAGGTTTTACATTTTACTTTTCGGTTTCCTCCTTTGTTTGATATCTATACCCTTTTTGCTTCAATTATTTCTGAGATTACTCATGCTCTGGCCAGGTTAAACCATAGTCCATCCGTGCCCAGCTGCTTGTTCAGAAGGGGTCTCACTTATGTTTTGCCTGTGCTGATAGTGAACCACAATCTTTCTGATTTCAGGATTACAGGTGTGAGCCACTGTGCCAGCCTGTAGTACCTCATTATTTTTTGTGATGGGGCAAGAAAACTCACCTCAAACTCTGCCCACTGAGCTGTCTTCAGGAGCTCTGTCAGCCTTGCAGATTTCATCTCAGCAGCTATGTGTGGCATGATCAGCAATCTGCCCAGCCCTACCACACTTTGTCCATGGACTATAATGGAATGGTGGCTGGGACGTGAAGCCATTACCAAGAGGAAGGCATCTTTTCCACACTTTCCAAGTCCTTTCCTGCTACCAGCTCCAGATGGAATTTGAGGCTGTAGAGCAAAAACTTTGCAAAATTACAGTGAAAGTCTACCACATTCTTTCTTTCTTCCAGTTTCCTGTTGCCAGAGACTCAGAATGTACTCCAGACTTAAGTTCCTAATTGAGATTGCTAAAGAATAGGACAAGTGGAAAGGGACTTGCTGCCTGAGGCAGCTTTGGCACATGACCATCATCATAGGAGCTTGCCTGCCCAGACTCCCCCAATCATGCTGCCTGATGCAGTAGGCCTCCCTGTGAGTTTGCATATAGAGCCACAGCCACTCAGAGCATAAGGCCAGCAGGAACGCTGGGTACTGTGCATGTAAAGACCTCCGTGATTGGAGATGCTTCCTGTCTTTGCTGGAAATAGGCGCTTACTGGACAAGTGAGGGGCTCAGTGATGAGGATGGCGACCCAGGCATCACTGAGGAGCTGACTGCTGCAGCTACAGCAGGAGAAGTCTAGTGGTGGCACCAGAGTTAGATTTATGTGCATCATCTCAGTGGGGAAAATAAATAAGTAAAACAGGGAGCAGGGAAGGTTCGTTAGGCAGAGCCAGCTGGAGGAGGCTCTTTACTCAAGAGTGGAATTGGACATAGGCACTTAGGGTGGTGGCTCTTCCAGCAGTGGACAGAAATGGGACAGGTCAGAGGCTGTCCCAAGCTCCAGGCTCCAGGCAGCCCTTGGGAGATGCTACAGTGATCCCAGCAACCTTTTCCTCTCAGCATATCATAGAAGCTGCGGTACTGTTTTTCTCACTAGTTGTTGGAATCTCAGGGTTTGTGTTGTGGGCATGTTAAGTGGATTCTTGTGCCCTGTACCCACAATGGCTCCTAACAGAATGGGAACTGAATTTCCAAAGAGACTCAAATATACTACAAATTGTAGCACCCAATGGTCTCCTTCCTAGGGTCTGTGGTTAGTTTTTTTGGCCCTCTTTGTAGAACACTATCAAATTTAAGTATGTGTTAACCAGGCACCAGTGGCTCATGCCTGTCATCCTAGCTACTTAGGAGGCTGAGATCTGAGGATTGTGGTTCAAAGCCAGCCCAGGCAGGAAAGGCTTTTACCTCTAATTAACCACCAGAAAACTAGAAGTGGAGGTTTTAGCTCAAAGTGATAGAGTACTAGCCATAAGCCAAAAGAGCTCAGAGACAACACCCAGGCCTTGAGTTCAAGTCCCACAACCAGCACCAAAAAAAATATTAATGAATTTGTGAGCAGAAAGTGCTACAGAGAAGAGCATCTACCCGGATAAGCAGAATGAAGGGACCAGAAGTGTTCTCATCTTTCTCCTCTGTTAGTAGAAGCAGCTTCTGGACCCATTGCCCCTGGAAGCAGGTCTAGGGGGACCCTGAGATCCCATTTTGAAGGCACACAATAACAAGTTCTTCTCTGGGCTCTTGTTTCTCCATACCCACCTTGAACAAATGTCAGAACCTCCCTTTTGGCTTTGAGTGCAAATTGAGCCAGTCTGGGCTCTAGCTGTCAGTCTGCATGTCTAAGAGTTCATCCTGGCCCTCGTGAACACAACTGCTGTGCTGTTATACTTGGGATAAGACATGTACTGTGCTGCTAATGCTTGGACCATATTTCCACAGGGAGATGGGGGAGACAGGGTTCCAGTTCCCACAGGACAAGCCCCACGTACAGCCATTCCAGACAAGGACAGCCATGGAGAGACCAAGGTCTGTGGAAGAGGCCACCATACTGGTGCCAACTTCTCATTGGCTTTTTTGCTGAAAGTTTTTCCTTTGTTTCAGAAAAGGTTATGTTTATGTTTATGATTTGAGGAGGCAATTCCTCACTTAGTGAAATAGAAAAAATAATTGCCCTACTTACTGCTGGTCTATCCTTCTTTGCCACTTATTTTTTAAAATAAATCCAGCTGTTCAGAATGCAAATTTTGTAATGTAGTCAGTGAAAGGCTCTTACAAAGGTTGCATATAGAAAGTTCATCTTATGGTGACAAAAAGCACAAATAGGAGTTTTCTGGTATCTTGACTTTTTATACATGCAATACATATGTCTTTTTTATTGTCTGTATTGTGCTGAATTTGGGCCTGGGCGCTGTCCCTCAGCTCTTCACCTCAAGCGCTCTACCACTTGAGCCACAGCACCACTCCTGCCTTTTTCTGCTTATATGGTGCTGAGGAATCGAACCCAGGGCCTCATGCATGCAAGGCAAGCGCTCTACCCCTGAGCCACCTTCCCAGCCCCCCCTTATAGATTTGAGAGCTAAACTAGATGGACTTTATATTACTTAAATTTATCCTTTCGTACAAACACTTTTTAAATTTATAATAGTTTTTACTTTTGCAACCGAAAATCCTGATAGAGATGTTGCTCAGATTGCTATCCAGCATAACAACCCTTCTGCTTTGGGCACTTGCGGCCGTTTTTCTCTGAGAACCGCTGGTATAGGCCATCTCTGTGACTGTTGAGCAGAAGCCTCTTGAGTCTGCAGGCTGTGCAGACATCAGAACCTGCCACATAATTCAAAAGACACCAGAATTTCTGATGTGTGTCTGGAGATGGCATCTTCAGTTCCATCAGTGTAGATTTACATTGGCTTGTTATTTCCTTGAGCTAGCTGAACCTGTAAATGTCCCAGCTGGACCTTTTACAACAGGCCTTTCTCTCAGTCTTTCTAGCACTAGGAAGTGAATGAGGCTCCCGTCACTTCATTAGCAGTAAATGACCAGCACACCTGCTCCTACATTGTAACTTTCCTGGTACCCCAGCGTATTGAGATTGCTTTTAATTCAGGAGATGCTGCAGTTCATTGGGCTAAACCACAGAAGAGGGAGACCAGAAGATCTGTGACAGAAGGACATAGCTTGAGAAGGCTTCCCGGGTGTGCCAAGGGTTAGTACAGCTCTGACCAGTGGGAGCAAGATCTGCTAGGTAGAGCAGTCAGGCTTGGGCTGCTTCTTTTTAAATTTTCTATTGTTATGGTAAAGATGATGTAAGTCAGGTAGAGTGCACATATTGTTGGACAATGCCATCCTCTTCCCTTGCTCTTTCCCAGTTTTTCCCACCAGTCTCCACCCACAAGTTGTATAGTTCATTTTCAACATAGCACCCATCGATAACCATGGCTGCATTTGCTCACTCTTTGTCCCTCTATTGCGCAGCCTCCCCTTAAACTCCAACGAACACAGAACAAGAAGAAAAGAAAACAGATTTTAGAGGAAATGACTTTAACTTTTCACCATTAAGTCTAATGCTGACTGTAGGCTAGTTGTATAGTCTTTATTGTATTGAAGAATGTCCCATGGATTCCTAGTTTCTCCAGAGCTTCTATCATAAAGGGGTGTTGAATCTTGTCAAATACTTTTTCTGCATCTATGGAGATGATCATGTGGTTCTTGTCCTTGCTCCTGTTGATATGTTGAATTACATTAATTGAACCAGCTTTGCATCCCTGGAATGAATCCTGTTTGATCATAGTGTATATTTTTTTTCAATGAGTTGTTGAAATTTATTGGCTGAATTTTATTGAGAAATTTTGCATCAATGTTCATCAGAAAATTGGGTCTATAAGTTCTCTTTCTTTGATATGTCTCTGTCTGGTTTTGGGATGAAGGTTATGCTGGCTTTATAGAATGAGTTTGGTAGTGAACTTTCCCTTCCCGTCTCATTGAAGAGCTTGAGGAGTATTGGAGCATGGTTTTCCCGATGTGTAATAACTAGAATATGTCTGATATTCCTAGCAGGGGATCACAATAGCCCAATTACTAAGTGCCTAGAACCATACATAATAAAGCGTGTCATCATGAACTCCAAGAATTAGAAACAAGAGGCTTTTATTATGTCCTATATGCAGTTATTACTAATTTTTGTTTTAGTTTTCTGTACCCTTTGTCTTGTATGTAAGTGTATGGGTGGAAGGAAAAGGTAATCACAGAGACAGCAAGACAAAGAATGAACTACTGCAACAATGTTGCTCACTAGACACTATGTTGGAAATGAACTATACATCTTGGGGGGCTTAGGGAAGGGTAAGTGAAAGAAGATGAGGGAGAGAGGAATAGTGTTTAAAAAGAAATGTACTGCCAGGCTCCGGTGGCTTATGCCTGTAATTCTGGCTACTCAGGAGGCTGAGATCTGAGGATCATGGTTCAGAGCCAGCCCAGGCAGGAAAGTCTATGAAACTCTTATCTCCAGTAAACCACCAGAAAACTGGAAGTATGTGGCTCAAGTAGTAGAGCGCTAGGCTTGAGCTGAAGAGTGCAGGGACAGTGCCCAGGCCCAGAGTTCAAGCCCCACGACCAACAAAAAAAAAGTACTCATTACCTTATTTATATAACTGTAACCCCCTGTTTATCATAAAGATATTTAAATAAATAAATTATAGCCATACCAAAAAAAAAAAACAGCAAAAAGAAAACCTCCTGTTTCCATTTCCAGGAGTTCATTTCAATAAATATTATTTTGTATGATCAGATGCACATATGCATTGTGGCTTTCTATTCCTCTCCTAAGAGTATCCTCATCTGGTCTCACTGCATGAATGCCTAGAGACCTGCATAATGTGTCATGCCCCAGTGTCTTTTAGACCTAGCCTCCACATAGGAAAGAGAACATGCACCACTTGTCTCTCCTGAGCTTGGATTACTTACCGTGATTTGTTCTGGGTCCATCCATTTTCCTGCAAATGACATAATATTCTTTTTTTTTTTATTTATTGTGAAAATACTGTACAGAGGGGTTACAATTACATGGACAAGATAGTGAGTACATTTCTTACCAAACATTGTTGCCTCCTCCTTTGTTTCCCCTTCCCATCCCATCCTCCCCCCAACCAAAGGTGTAAAGTTCGTTTTCGACATAAGGACTTGTACCTCTCATTGTTGCAATGGGTCCACCTGTATCCCTATTTAAGCGATTTGCTTTTTCCCTTCCCCTCCACAAATTATACCAACATCAAATACAGTGAAAGCAGGATTATACTGTGGGGGAGGGACATACAAAGCAACAAAGAAATCATCTTATAAATGTGTTAGAAACAATCGCATGAAAGAAAAAAACATTTGAATACATATCTTAGGCTTCATTTCCCTAACATCAACTTATCTGACCCTTTCTGCTTGACTCATACATATGCTAGTTATTGCAAATAAGGGAAACCATGGGGCCTATGTTTCTTTGGGCCTGGCTTACTTCACTTAATATAATTTTTCCAAGTCTTTCCATTTCCTAACAAATGGGGTGATGTCATTCTTTCTGATGGAGGCATAGAATTTCACTATGTATATATACCACATTTTCTTGATCCATTCATCTACTGAGGGGCATCTGGGTTAATTTTCTTTTTTCTAGTAGCTGTATAAAATTCTGTTGTGTATAGGGACCACATTTTTTGATCCACTCAAAACAGCCCACTCAACTGGGCTGTTTCCACAACTTGGCTATTGCGAATAGTGCAGCAGTGAACACGGATGTGCAAATGTCTTTATGGCATTGCTTCTCTGTGTGAATTAGATTGAATGATGCCAAGAAAAACATGGGGTCCAAAACAGCACCCTTCCTCACCCCTGACTGAGGTATCTCAGAAGATCTCCATGGCAAGTAGTTTTGGCAAAGACCTCGTGGAGGCAGAAGCAGCTGGAGATGTGTGAAGGAGACTCCAAAGCAGAGGCCAAGGCCAGCAGGAGGCCCACCCCTGGGAGCTGACTTCAAAGGATGAGAGTGGCGGCAGGAGAGAAGTGAGAGTTCAGGGTGCCCGGGAGCCCCAGGAGTGCTGGGAGCTTTAGACCTTCCACAGAACATGACTTAGTGGAGTATAAGCAAGTGCTTGGCATGGAGCAGCCACCTGGTGCGCGTGGCCTCTAGATAAGCAGACAGCTACAAGTGGGGAAGAGCTGTGAGTGCCTCAGGACTCGCAGAAACCGCTCACACAGAAGCCCTTCTTGTTCCTACAAAGGAGCTAGAAGGTCTTTCTCTGCCGTCTCACTGTCTGAATTAAGGTTGCCTTTGTCCAGAATTTGGGCTCAGGTGACAGCTGTCAGTATAGTGGAGAAGAGGCAAATGGAATGAGCACACTTACCCAGCTGGAGGAGAGAACTGGTCTGACACTCATTCAGCTGGAGGAGAGAGCTCACCTGTCCTGAAGTAAAGGGGTCTGCACACAGAATATCCTCTTGATTATTAGCAGCTGGCCCTGGAGCTCTGGAGCTACATGAGTTTTGGGGGGGTGGTCCTTTTGCGTGGTGGATGAGCACATCGTAAACCATAGCACTTCATGGTGAGTTAGATGGATGAGCTGGTGCTGCCCTCAAGCCAGACCTGCTCATATCAAGAGCCGGGGTGTGCAGGATGGTGAGGGCTGAAGCTGCCTGCCTCTGTCTTGTCTAGATGCTACCACTGTGTAGCTTTTTACAGGCAGACCTGGGTCAGCACCTACCCGCAGGCCGTAGCTGTGCCCAAAATGCGTCGGATGTTACATTAATTCTGAGGTGTTTGTAAATATTTATGTGGAATTCAAGCTAGTGCCTGAGCTGTGGTTGTTTATTCAACAGCATGGGAAAAGGTCACAAGTGTTAGCGTATTTCCCTTCCTTAGTGCTATGGAAGAGAATACAGGCACAGAAAACAAAAAAAAAAAATTGGTTTCTTTAAATTCTGTTAGCAGAGAACACTGACAGTGGCCAGAAATTTTTCCTCACTGAGATGGAAACGAAGCAGTGACTCTCCTGGGACAGAAGGTCCCTGACAGAGAGGAGGGACCTCTTCCCCAGCACTCCTTGAGGTAGTCCTCACACCATTGGTCCTGTGTGTGTTTGTTTGTTTTTGCCAGTCCTGGGGCTTGAACTCAGGCCTAGGCACTGTTCCGGAGCTTCTTTTTGCTCCAGGCTAGCACTTGAGCCACACACCAACCACTTGTGGCTCTTCCTGTGCATGTGGTACTAAGAGCTTCATGAATGCTAGACAAACACTCGACCGCTCAGCCACATCCCCAGCCCTGTTAGGTTTCTGTGTGTCAGATAGATACAGAATTGGGCAGTGGAACTCTAGACTGGTGAGAGGATGGTGCTGGCCTCTGCGGGACCTGGGTCTGTCCCTGGGAGGGAGGCAGCCATGCAGTGGGCTCCTCAGAAGATCCAGGTATCTGACTGGGAATACAGATCATCAGGACCCAGAAGCCTAGGCCCTGGTCAGGTTCCAAAAAGTACAATTTCTTGGAGATGACCCTCTCCAAATGTGGGGCTTTTCAAGAGTGCTTTTCCTACCCCTTTCTGCTTATAACAGAATTGTAGGCTACTGAGAAGAATTGCAGACATAATGAAGGCTGGGCACCGGTGGCTCACGCCAGGAATCCCAACTACTGAGGAGGCTGAGATCTGAGGATCACAGTCCAACAACCACAAGAAACATCATAAAGGTCTTCTCTCTGCTTTAAGTCTTAACTCCTCCAGGAATTTCCTGAGCTTTGTGTCCCAGGTTCCAACCCTTTGTTACTGAACATCACTGCCCTTACAAGCACTCAGACACTCACTGAAGGAAGTCTGGGTGGCTGTGGGTTTCCTGACAACGTGACTCCACATCACTTTATTGTACGTGCACATGCCTTCCATTGTCAGTCCCCAGGGCCGTGGTAGAGACTGAAGTCTTGGTCCTCATTAGACTCTGCGAGTGACACCTAGCTTACCATTGTGTGCACACATCTGCAGCACCCATTTCAACTTACTTACGTAAAGTGAAAGCAGTACACGTTTTATTTCAGTGTATAAATGTAGATAAAGATAACTAGAAACAACATGCTGCACTTCCTGACCCAGACAGGAGTAGCTGAGGAGGCTGTGAGCAGCACATCATATAACTGCAGGCACCAGAGTACACAGGGACCTAGTCTGTCACACATCTGATCCATCTCGCAGTGCTACCCTGAGCAGCATGTCTCCTGCAGGCCCAAGAGGTCCCAGCACCCACACAGCCATGCTGACCTTCAAGACGCACTGGGTGTTCCTAGGGAGGCTGTATCTGGCTTCCTGTCTAAAGAAGCACACTTGCTTCCGTGCCAATCACTTGGAAACAGGAACATAAGAATTGGCTCCTTTCATGGTATTATGTCATAAGGATGATGGGTTTCAATCATCGCCATCCACAGTGCATAGGCATGTTGCTGTGCCGCAAGTGTCTGATGTTGGGTGTTCTGTGCAAAGGGTTTGTTGCACATGGTTGATCTGTGGATGTTGTTAGAGTCAAGAGTAGTGATGTGTTTCCAGGTCAGGCAGTTGACTTTTTATCTGAGAAGTGCTATGATTGAATTCTGGGCTACCACATTTTTGGCTGGCTTCTACCTGTTTTTTGTATTTCTTGGAGAAGAAAGCAGTCTCCGTAGAAAGTTGTCACTATTTAGAGGACAGAAGCAACCAAGACAATTCTTTATATTAGAATAAAACTCGGTGCCTCATAACGCAAGTGTCCAATCTATGTCCTAATTGTCAAGTTTCCTTCCAGAGCCTGGACCTGGCTAGGCAAATGTGGAGCTGGTGGGTGGGGAGCTGAGGCAGCTGGGACCCAGGACCGAAGGCTGCTGGATGGGGTGCACTTCAGGGGTGATCAGCATCAAAGCTTGGGGCCCAGCTAACCTGTGAACAAATGGGAACCAGAGAAGGCTTTAACTTCTTTGCTGTCACTCAGCCCAGCTGGTGAGCTGTTAAATTCCACAGTCATTCCCCTGTGATTCTTCACAGAAGTTCCTTCTCATGGTAATTCTAGGGAAGCTTGTGCTCTTTTAGACTACAGGGTGGGAAGGAAGAGTAATCGTAATCGAGAAGCCTTTTTTTTTTTTGTTAAACAATCAGACCTCACACTTTGGGGTCATCAAGCAGGGCGTGTTAAGGTCACGCTTCCATATGCCAGAGGAAAACCAAAAACGTAAAGATGTGTAGAAAAGTACCATTTTAAAGGTGTGCATGGATAAACCATGACCTTTTTACTGGAGGTTAGTTCTGCTCTCAACATCCTTGGCTTTCAGAAAGGCAGGAAGTGGCCAACCACAGTGGGGTAAGAGGGAGCCCCGGACCTAGCCTTGGAAAACCACACATGGCTCCTCAGAGAGCCCTCCCAGCCATCTGCATATGAATTCCATTTCCAAAGTCATTAGCAGAAATAAATGTCTAGATAATATGCAGATGGTTGGAACTGGTGTTAAGAGGAACATTTTTGACAGTTTTCTTCCACTAAAAGCACTACCTCCTAATTAATTGCTTCCACTTTAATGGAATAATTATAGAAGAAAATTTTAATGACAGGTGGCCACAACTGAAAAAAGGATAAAGTTCTGTTCTCTAAATACAACGCAGCATACTATTCATGCATATTCAGAAATGTGCAGCTTTTTTGTTTGAGTATTTAGAGAGATGTCATTCTCATTTTGGGTTTTGTGTGTTTGGTTCAGGAAGCAGACAGTACGAGTATGACCACTGGAGAAGGTACTAGGCCTCATCCAGGTAAGCATCTACCTCTCCTGCATCTTTGGAAGAGTTGGTTCATAGCTGAGTTTCTACACTGAGTTCTAAGAGTTCACAGGGTTAATTAACTTGGTGCGTTCTCCTTACTGGGATCAGCCAACTCAGTGCAAGACATCTTTGCTTCCTCTGGAAAGAATGCAGAGAGATCAAGGCCAGCGTGAGGATCTCCTCTCCCGCGTCCTCTGGAGAGGTGCTCTTGCTGCTGGCTCCACAAGGGCAGAGCAGCTGGGAAGAGGGAAGCATGCTCTTTTCACTATTAAAAATGTTTGCTGAGTTACTCCACAGGCTGTGCTTGACTCCATGCTCCAAAGCGATGGTTACTGCAGGATCAGTCTTTGCTTCCAGCATATAAGACATCGTGGACGTTTTTTTGAAAGAATAAATTGGAATTTAATTGTACCTTGCCTTTAAAAAAATACTGGATTATGAAGACATTTTCCCAAATTATTAGTCGTTGAAAACATGGTGTCTAATTAAAGATCATTTTTATTTATTTATTTTTGTCAGTCATGGGGCCTGAACTCTGGGCCTGGGCGCTCTCTGTCCCTCAGCTCTTCAGCTCAAGGCTCTCCAGCCTTGAGCCATAGCGCCACTTCCAGCTTTTTCTGCTTATGTAGTGCTGAAGAATCGAACCCAGGGCCTCATGCATGCAAAGCAAGCACTCTACCACTGAGCCACCTTCCCAACCCCATTTTTAAAAATCTGTCTTAGCTGGGCACCGGTGGCTCACGCCTGTCATCCTAGCTACTCAGGAGGCTGAGATCTGAGGCTCGCGGTTCAAAGCCAGCCCGAACAGTAACATCCATGATACTCTTATGTCCAATAAACCACCAGAAAACTGGAAGTGGCACTGTGGTTCAAGTGGTAGAGCACTGGCCTTGAGCTGAAGAGCTCAGGGACAGCGCCCAGGCCCAGAGTTCAAGCCCCACGACCGACCAAAAAAATTTTTTTTGCTTTAGTTATTTTTTCAGATAAGGTCTTAATTTTTTTGCCCAGGGCTTTGGATCTCCATCTTCCTACCTATACCTCCTACACAAGTGACTGGAATCACAAGTGACTGCCACCTTGCCTGGTCTACTGGTTGAAGTGAAATCTCACCAACTGTTTCCCCCATTGGCCTTGATCTTTAATCTCTGCATCTCAAGTAACCAGAATTACAGATAGGAGGCTAAAAGTTCTATTTTCTCCTTATTTGTGTAACAAATAAATTTCTCCTTAGACTGAGAATTGACTTTCTTTCGCAGTGTCTACATACTGACTTGTCAGTAAAATACTTGTATTCATTTGGCTCCAGTCCACACAGGGTCTCTGGGCTGCCTCTGCTGCCTGTGAATGTCCTTGGCAGACCTTCCATGTTGCTTGCATTGTGACTTCCTCCAGTCTCCCCTGCAGCTTCATCTCCAATCACTACTCAGGGGGCTCCTCACAAGGACTTTGTTTTTTGTTTGTTGTTGTTGTTGTTGTAGTTCTTTTTTGTTTTTTTGGGGGGGGGCGGGTCTGGTCATGGGGTGCTGTCCCTCAGCTCTTCAGCCTTCAGCTCAAGGCTAGCGCTCTACCACTTGAGCCACAGCGCCACTTCCGGCTTTTTTTTTCCTTTTTGCTTATGTGGGGCTGAGGAATGGAACCCAGGGCCTCAGGCATGCAAGGCAAGCGCTCTACCACTGAGCCACCTTCCCAGCCCTCTCAAGGACTTTGATTCTGCCCAGAACCAGAGGAGGCCAAGGCCTCCCAGGACTTCATTTTAAATGACTTCATAACTCCTATATTATGCATGCCTGAAAAAAACAGTATCCCTTGGACAAGATCACTTTCTGCTGTTTATTCAAAGCAGTTCTACCTGGAACATGACTGCAGCATGTCTGGGACCCAACCAGATATCTGAACCTTTGGAAGCATCTCTAGGTGTGCCTGTGTAAGCAGAGTGTCCCATGAGCTTGCTCCTCAAAGAAACACGGTGGAACCTGTGACCTGTGGAGTTGTGGTATTCCCTAGCATACCTTCAAGATACTGTTTTTATATTGTCTCTTCAAAGTACTGGACCTTTTAAAGGTGCTAGCCTCCTTAACAACCTTATCCTCCTCAGCTATAACTTTATGTACACTCCTTTTCTGCAGGTTTTTCAAATCTTTCTACTCCGCTTTTTTTTTCTCATTCTCACAGTGAATTTGGCTATAAGCAGTCAGTAAAACCCTTGCCATCATCTTCCACAATCTTTATGATGCTCCACCTTGAAATTTCCTGTGTCATATAACCCAGTCTGTCCTTACATTCTACCTCCCACAAAGGCTCAACACACACACAAAATGTAAACAGTTATTTGCCAGAACATGAATGGCCTCTAGTCCAGTTCCCAGTGCCCCATCTCCATCTGAAATGACTTCTCTCCACATTTCTCTTGGTGTCCTGCTGGCATCCTGGTCTTCTGAGCTCCCATGACAGTTACCTATCAAGCTCCACTCAAAGCATCCCGGATCATCTGTGGCCTCCAAACTTTTCCCGTCTTCTGCAAACCAATGTCAAAGGCTTTTGAACTGTATCATCAGGTATGAGCACAACATCTCCACTGCTGGTACCAGTTTTCTGTTTGTCAGTTTCCCATCACTGATGGAAATCATTCCAAAAACCAGCTGAAAAGGAGGAAAGGACTAGAAATGTAGCTCAGTGGTAGAGTGAGCGCTTTGCTAGAAGGCATAAGATCCTGGGTTCAATTCCCAAAACAAAGCGAGAGTGGAGAGACAGAAGACAGTATTTATGTTAGATCATGGTGTCGCTTGGCCCCACAAGTTTGTGTCTTTGGTGAGAACAAATGGTGGCAGAGCATGGACTGGGGAAAAGCTGTGCTAGGGAGCGAAGAGCGAGGAGGCGCCACTGGGATCTCAGTATCTCCAAGGGCATACCCTCATGACCTGCGTTTCTCTCAGTACTGCCTCCTAAAGGCTTACACTTCCTGGTGGCACCTTAGGCTGCAACCAGGCCTTTGGTGCATAGCCTTTGAGGAACACTCCAGAAAGAAACCTTATCAGGAATGATGAAAAGTTCTGTCAGAAGTTTAGTCTGTAAAACACTCAGGAGTCCTTGGAGAGCTCTGAGTGCCATGTGTAAAGGTAGTCTGCTGAGCACAGTCCCGGATATCTTGGATGCCTCTTAGAGTTGTGGAGCTGAGACCCAGGTATCTGTGGTCTTTTATCCAAGTCTGACCACATAGGAAGAGTTTCCACACGTGAGCACACATGGATCCAACATGCACAGGAAGGAGACAGACATCCAGGGCTTGCCTGCACCCTTTTGTCCTGGATATAGCCATGAGGAATCGGCGGACAGCACCAGACCTGTGAGGTTTGTTCACCTGGTGGTCGTCTTTGTACCCACCCCACAAAGCAGCCAAATCAAGTTTGTCCTTCTGGTCCCTCAAGGGTGCCCTTTGTATTGTGTCCTGATCTGTGATGATTGTAATGGAGATCTGTTGAGTGGGTCCTCTGCTGGGTTCTCCCTATCCCTTCAGGCTTGTGGGTAGAGGGCCGATGCATTTGTCATAAGTCAGGATTTGGAACACATCTCCATGGCCTTTGGGACAGAGATCTGCTCAAGACTGAAACATTCGGCCCATGCAGAAACCTTGTGCTGTAGGTACTCCTGCATTAGGATAGGATGCAGGAAGGTTTCCTGGGTCTCCTGAGGTCAGATGGTTCTGGTGTCAGGTTCCAGGGAGTATTGAATTCATGAGGTCTATGAATTAAGCAGCCCAGTGGAGGGTAGAAGCAGAATGATGCCTGATAGGCCATGGCCTCAGGGGCTCACAGACATTGCAAAAGTGATTCTGGGGTGCAGGTATGTGGCTCCTGGCTGTGGCGTGCCCTACACCCACCTAGTCCTGTCTGGCCAGGCCCTCCCGTGAGCACTGAAAGGCCCGGGCTTCGGGAGCTGGCTGGCTGGTGGCTGATGGTAATCCCGGGTGCTAGGCTTAGCAAAACACAGGATTGGAGAGCAATCTGGCAACCCCCCTATGGACTACGACACTGGAGGAGTGCCGTGGTGGACAGCAGTAGTGGAAACTTCATTTTACCGTTTGGAGGGTCAGCCAAAATGCAAAGACTGCCTGAGCCCCCGAAAGAAGAGGAGTCATGCTAGCCTGTGTCCAGCCAGAGGGAGTCCTTGCCTCAGGACCTGGGCTCTGCCCGCTTGCACCTGTGAAAATGTTTGCTAGAGCCATTCTTCCCTGGTCCCACTATCACCAATGTTTGTGGTGGGAAAAAAAAAGAACCCGAAGCCAGAGGCCTGGCAGACAGTGAAGGCGGCTGCTGCCAGGCGGAGTCCTGGAGGCTCCCGTGGCTGCCGAGGTTGCCCTCTGGTTAAGCAGAGCTGAAACTGCACTGGAGTGTTAGTAATCACGTGGCAGTCCCCAGCGGGCTGTTGAGCTGAGGCTAATCTCAGTACACTCCAACAATGTGTCCCCCAATGGGAAGGGAGAGAAGGAAATGTCAGGTTATGTCCTGGGACCACCCCCCGCCCACCCTCCATCTGCGCCTGTGTCAGAGCTCACAGGAACATATGCCGCCTGTTGCTCACTGACCATCTGTTCACAGTGCTGTGAAGTGTGCCTGTTGCTATGGAGACAGGGCCTTGATTGGCGGCTGTACCGCAAACATTTGCTGCTCAGGTTCCACTTTTATCTGTGCTCTGGAATGGAGCTGGGTATGGAGGCTTGGGGGAGGGGGCAGCTTGGAAGGAGGAGTCGGCTGGGAAGCAGGTTGAGAGGGAACGGGCCAGGGCCTCCCCTCCACCCACCGCCCTGTCCCTTTTCAGAGACAACACAGCTGGGATTGGAGCTGATGGATTGAGGGGGTGGAGGCCGCCTCTGTCTGCCCACTAGCCTGCTGGGCCCGGCCCAGAATGGGCCTTTCCAAGCGCAAAGAGGAGGCCTGAGCTCTCAGCCTTAGTTTTCAGTCCAGACCCCACCCCGTGGTTGGACATCTGTCCACCCCAGTGCTGCTGGGACTGGTGTGAGTGAAACAAACAGGCTGTTATGAACCTCGTCCTGGGAAACATCCTTCTGTTTGGGGTGGAGGGGAGGGGGGAGGGTGCTGGACAGCTTCTGCAGGGTCTGGCCTTCCACTGGGTGCAGAAGCATGGCAGCCTGTTCCTGTCCTAGCAGACTGCCCCCTTACCACTGCGCCAGCTCAAGCACGACAGAGACTTCTGCCAGAGTAGGGTCAGACTGAGCTCTTTTTCCGCTTTGCAGAGCTAGGAAGTAAGTGATACAAGTCTCTATCTCTTCCACTGGATCACAGTGTGTTAGCAAAGCAGGCAAACCTTCCCTTGTTGGTGCTCACATTCAGCAGTAGCTCTGCTTCCAGGACTGGGACAAGCTAATGTACAGGGTCTGGGAGTGAACACTGGAGCAAAGTGTGCAAGACACAAGTGTGGCAGAGGTAAGGTGACTGTAGGACCACTTTGGTGTCTCACCCTTCCCATCCCCTGGGTGGACCTGTTGTAATAGCTACAGTCAGTCTAACAGCTGGGACCAGGCCCCAGACAGCCACACGGGGCTAAAACCTCTTTGGCACAGGGGCAGCATGGGTCCTAGGCTTAGTCTCTCTGCCGGTAGGTGGTCACAGACTCCAAGACCTTACTAAATCTCTTAGAGAAGTTCCCTTGTGACATTACAGTCCGCCCTCAGGGACCTAGGTCTTGCCCACCATCTCATCTGGCTTGCCCCAGCTCAGCAATGGCTCTCGGAGGGGTGGGTGCTGGCCCCTACCCTCTTGCTGTCACTGTCCTGGGTCTTCAGAGGCTGGCTGCCCCCAACAGCATGCCCTGCACACCTGGGGACCCTCCCCAGCACCCTGCTCTGTCTAGCTCCTGGCCAAGACTGTCACCCTTGTTCTGTAGGGTGCCAAGCTCCTTAAAAACAGGACCTGTAACTTAAGAAACAAAGAACTTCCACTCACTGGTCGAACCGCTACTAAATATCCCCATGCTGCTCATCACATGTATGGTGTATATGTGTATACCGTTATAGACGGTGATAGACAGTTTGCTCCAGGAAAGTTAGAATGAGCTTGTGCTTTAAATGAGCATCATTATTCCACAATAGTGTGAAATTTGGGAAATTATGTAATCATTTAATCACAATTAAAAAAAAAAAACCCACCAGAAAACTAGAAGTGGAGCTATGGCTCAAGTGGTAGAGCATGAGCCTTGAGCTGAATTGTTTAGGGACAGCTCCCAGGC